ACTGATCTGCTGGATGAAGGGGGAACAGATCCCCATTCGTCTGTTTTTTGCATACAAGATCGGATCAGATGTCGGCGGGTGTCAGCGGACTATTGTCTGCTGACACCCGCCGGACCATAGAAGTCTATGGATGGACAGATCGGGTCCGCTTGAAAAATGGACAGGTGGACCCCATCAGTCTGCTTGTGCGAAAGGGGCCAAAAGGTCCTTGATTATGTTTTTTCTATATACAGGGTGACTATGCATTGTCTCTCGCTTCCTATGATGCACCTAGGTTGTCACATTGTCATATGGAAGGAGACTACAAGTTGCTGTTTCAATACACATTACAAAACCATAATCTGTTGTCACTATTAGGAAGTCTATTCTAAGAAATTACATGCAGCTATCCCTGGAGTGCTTGCATGTTGGCAGGAGGTGGATGCAAAGAAGATGAAGTAGATTGGATGCACTAAAATGCAACAAAGGTTAAAAAAAAAAAAAAAAAAAAAAAAAAGCTAACAATTTTAAATCTGCAATAATTTATCACACTGTCATGTTAGTGGTTCCAATGTCATGAGACCCTGATCTTGATCAGTTATGTCATATAGAAGTCCTGAATTCCATTCAACATGCTAGGCCAGTCAGTCACCAAGTAGCAACTTAAGGATATTTCTTTATTTCAGGTACTTCTATAGTGCTGTAAATTTGCGCAGTGCTTTACATACATATATTGTATGTTTACATCAGTCCTGAACCCTCAAGGGGTGTACAATCTAAAGTCCATAATAACTCACATTCATACACATATATACGAGGGCCAATTTAGACAGGAGCCAATTAACCTACCAGCATGGCTTTGGAGTGTGGGAGGAGACCGGAGTACCCAGAGGAAACCCACACAGTCACAGGAAGAACATGCAAACTCCAGGCAGGTGGTGCAGTGGTTGGGATTCGAACCAACAACCCTAGTACCGCCAGGCAGAAGTGCTAACCATTTAGCCACTGTGCTGCCCATAAGGATAAGGATGAAAGCCCCCAAGTTTGGAGTGTTCAGCAGTGATAGCTCTCATGATTCTATCCCAACAGTCACAGCTTAAAGCTAAAAAAAAAAAAAAAAAAAAAAAAAAAAATCTTAAAAAAATTCACAATCACAGCTTCTTTATGCCTGGTACACACAGGGAGATTATTATTAGTGGGCAATCTCCCCTGCTGAACTGTTGTGTTCTGACAGGGTGACTGTGTTCTGACTGCCCACTATCAGGAGATATCCATTACCATTCACCACCAAATGAAAGCCCAATTTGCCCTAAAAAACCAAGGTATAATCTGCCTGGATGCACAAAATAGTTGTGATATGTACGGTTTTACTAACACGTAGTTGGGCTTAGGCATTAAGATTTGATTTACCCTTAGAGGCAAAGGGGTTAAGATATGCTCAACATTTTATTTTTTTCACTTTTGAAAAAAAATAACACACTTCTACATTGAAAAAATAGATACATTTCTACATTTGAATGTCTAGTAAAATTTAGACACACCTTAGCCTGCATGCAGTTTGGAATCAGAGAATGCCAAAAACCAAAACAGGTGCAAGGAAACCGTACAAATATATTTTAACAGGTTAACTGGAAATTGCGTTTTTTTTTTCTATTTAAAATTTTTAAAGCAATTGCTATTCTAATTATGGCCCCACCACAGCACAAATCTGGCAGTCTAGGCTGACATGCTTGACAAGAGCAAGCTTTTCTCATTCCCATCGGTATGCCTACTAAAATGCATCTGGGTCATGCTATCCAGCGTGAAAAGTTTCATCTAAATATATGTTCCAACTAAAACATTTAAACTGACTTCACTGAGGGCCAGTTCACACTACATGTGGTACCAGGTGTTTTACTGCATGGTAAAAACATCTATCACCATAGGGACACACAGGAAAAACATCTGTTTTCTATGTGTCTCATTCACACTGCAATGCAACGTAGTGCAAACTGCAGACATGTTGCATATTATCACAGCACACTAGGCTGAATCACACTGAATTGCTCAGGCTGCACTAAATCACGCACCACACTGCCCCCTAGCACCCCTTGCCTAGCCAGCAACACAGAGTGCCTGGAGCAATCAATTGCTCCAGCTGCTCTGCGATTTAACTGATAAGCAGTGTGAATTTGCCCTGGGTTTGTGTGAAAAATATCTAAAATGAAAACGTTAAAAAAAAAAAAAAAAAAAATACTTTTGTATTTTCTTTCTTCATTTTACAAAAACTTGTGGCAAAAGAATAAAAATGTCACAAGACTCACGATGCCCCTTATCAAAAACACAGTGGAGTGTTTTCTCTATAAATTCTACTGTTCTGGTACTGTAAGGTCTCTGAAAATGCAATAGGTAGTCAGGAAATCAGATATGTGGTTTATGCCCTTGAAAGCGTCAGGGTGCCCATTGGACGCTGGGTTCTTCTATGTGGCTGGGCTGTGTGAAATAGTCTCACATGTGCTATCCCTACACATTAGAGGAGTAGCAGAATGTGTTTCGGGGTTTAATTGTATGCCCTTGCTGTGCATAAGAAATAAAATTAAAATTCATATTTTATGGCAAAAAAAAAACAAATTTAATGTCTTCATTTTTCGGACCAAAAAAAAAAAAAAAAAATGGCAAAAAATTATATTTTTGAAAATCCCACATCTCTTATTAAATACTGTTGGTTTCTACTTTCCAAAAAAAGGATCATTTGGGAAGGGGGGATCCAAGAAATTCAATATGCACTTAGAACATCAGGGTTCATTCATTTCAAACACAATATATATACACACACACACACACACACACACACACACACACACCACAGTTTGTAGACTAACTTTCACTTTTTTTTCAACCAAAGACATGTAGCAGAACTGGTTTTGGCCTAAATGTATTAAGAAAGAGTATTTAACTGCAGTGTTTTATAAAGAAAGGCAAAAGGTTTTTTTTCACAATTTTAGGTCTCTTTTCCATTATATAGTAAAAGAAAAAAAAAAACCTCTCTGTAAAAAATGGTATAAAATTCATTAGAGTACAGCGTTAGATTAATTATCAGTTAGACTACTGCACCACTGAAAAAAAGTATTAAAAATCCACCACTCACATTAGTTAAACGCATACAAGCACGATCAATCACATCAAATGATTTTAAAAGATATCCAGACAGTCTATTCTTGCAATAAAGGCAATTCTAGTATGTGTGATTAAGCCCTTCCCAACACATTTCACCGTGTAACTTGTGGGGGAGAGGTGTAACCAAAAAAAGATGAGGTTGTGCCCATCAGGAATGGATGGTGAATGAATATCACTGCATATACTGTAATTTTGAAAGGTGTTGGAAAACCATTTGCATATTAAACATAGAATAACTAATTGAAAATATATTTATTGATTATTGGTAGATTGGTTGAAAGATACAACTAAATGTTGTGAAGAGGAGATATATATATATATATTAGATAATATTTCACACTGTGTTTATGATGGAGTGAATGACTAACAGCACAGATATTAGTTTTATCTTTAAATCTGACCCATGACATTCAGGAAAGTGTGCACAAATGTTCTAGCCCTGCCTCCTTCACAGCCATGTACAGCAGGGAGTCATATGGCAATGATCAACCTCACGTAGAAGCACAGTACATAGTCTGATTAATCTAGCTACAAATCTCAGGAGAAAGATGGAGAAGCTGAGTGGACTTACTGACTTGCATAACATTTCCTAGTAAAAAGTAGTACCTCAATGGCTGTATTTCATGCAGTCTCAAGTAGGTCTAAGGCTGTCATACATTTCCTCTGTTTTCTCTTTCAGCATATTTTCTCAGTACAAAAGAAAAGCCATCAGCCAACAATATATATTAGAGCCAGGAAATTAAACATCAAAGTGTGTCATCACCTTCAAAGGAAATACAAATGAAGCTACACTTGATGGAGTTCCAACATTCAGAGTTGTTAACCATCCAGGGCCAGTAGCCAGCCTATTATTGGTCCATCTCTACAATTCCTCAATATGCCAATTAGTGTTTGCATTCTTTTTGTACAAGCTTCTGCACATATTGAGAATTTTACATAAACATATATAAGGTGCATTAACATTTAATAATGTAGAATACAGAATTATAGTGGTAGAATTAAACCACAATGTCCAATCAGATTTCAGTTAGAATAGTGAAATCCTGCTGACTGGTATACAACGTGGAGTGCAAAGCCTTAATACGTAAGTCACTATGAGGAACCCCCAAGTTGATGAAATGTGTGTGTGATGGGCCACAGGCAATCATTCTTATTGCGGATGGACAAGAGTGCTATGGAACTACACTCTAGCCAGATCATATGTATAAATCAAAGCTATCAGCATGTACTTTTACTAATTAAAACATATTACACAAACCCCCTAAAATGGATGCACATGGTCCTCCTCCAGGATATATTCAAGGGACTTAAAAGAGAAAAAAGAAGCTTTCTTGCACAAAAAATAATTAACCAAAAATATTAGTCACATGCGATCAGCCTTCTCAGATCATTATAAGCCATCCCAGGTCCCTATACAACAGGGCAAGCAGAAGGCTCCATCTGGTTTGTATCAGCTTTAATATAAAGTCGATCTCGGTTTATTCCTTATGCAGACATTTTCCTGTGATCATGGAAGGTAAATCACTTCTAAAAGCCAGCATTGCTGTGCACTTACTAATTGTGGTCAACCAGTAATGAGCCTGAATTATTCTGCCCATACAACTGTAAAAAGATGATAACAGACTGGTTCCTCTTACTACTAAACTTCATTCTGAGCGTCTTTCCACCAGGTTTCTTTTTAATTTAGTCTGTTTCAGTTTTAACACTCAAAGCCCTCTAACTATAAAGCTCTATTCATTAACTGCTTAGAATGTAATAAGTTTCCACACTGGGCATCACCTAGACATGACATTACTCTAAACAGTGTGCAGGTATAGAGAAAGAGCAGGAGAAATGCACTTCTACATCCAAGCATGCAGTAATCACTAGAAAGCAATAAAGGATTCCTGGGACAACTCGCTAGATTCCGTTTGCAGTCCTGAAACCATAGGGTCACAGTTTTGATCTATAAGGATATCTTCCATCATGGAACCTAGATAGACAAAAATGATTTTAGATGTTCGTGTCAGATACATAAAATTCAATTCTAAAGCTGAACTAGGTTTCTTTTAATTCTTTAATTATATTTGAGAAAAACTATTGAAACAAGTAAAACAGAATATTATACATTTTAGACAATATTTGCTGGTAATGCAATGCTCCAGAGAATGGCTGGAGACAGGGTATTTAAGATGGGATAAGATTCTTGGGAGAAGGAACAAGGCAGTACAAATCTCTAGAGGTTGCAGCATCTGGTTTCCTTGAAGTGTGTATGCATCAGACCACACAGAGCTCAGGGGCAAACAGAAAAGTTGCAGGTTGTTGATGGGTTGGGTGCAAACAAATGCTGCAATGCTTACTTCCACGATAAACCTACAACAGAAAACTATATTCAAAAGAATACATTTTCCTTTATTATAGTAGCAGTTAGGGGGAAGAGGGTAGATACAGGATAAGGAAAGACATGAGGATAGGGGATTGTGGAGTGGGGATGTGGGGGGGGGGGGGGGGGTCAATATCTAGCCATTGGGCAAGTTGCAGGTTACAGTGAGGGGAACTACTAGTTGGTTATGTCACCAGCCAATGAGGTCCAGAATTCCAATATTTTAGGATGTTCTCCTACGGTGTTCAGGGGCGTAGAAATTTCTTTAACTACTTGTCCAAGGGACTAAATTGGTGTCCCAATCTACTTGTCCCACATGACAATTCACTTGTCCTGATTAAAAAAAAAAAAAAATACTACTGTGTGTATATATATATATATATATATATATATATATATATATATATATATATATATATATATATATTTTAACCTCTCCCTGCTAGTCCCCGGGTGTGGTGCTGGAGACAGACAGGGAGGTGACATACCTTGCAGTGTGATGAGCACCGATTGGGTGCTTGTCAGGAAAGGGGAGTGTCGGGCTCTCTTAACGCTCAGAAGCACATCTAAAGCTGCCCGTACACGTACAGATTTTCGTTCAAGAATTTTCATTTCAAGAATAATAGTTTGATTTTCTAATCATTAGTGGGGTCAAATAGATGTTTGTTTTTGACCGCAGTGATGGGAAAATTTGAAGGGGCAGGAAGGAAAACTTTTCTCGATCAAACGAATTGTAGGCAATTATATGTGGTAATCATTCAGAAATTACATTCATTTTAAACTCGAATGTTAAAAGTAAAAGATAATTTTCGAACGACATTCATCCATTCACCGAATGTTCAAAGAATTTTCGTACGAAAAATCTACATGTGGATGGCCAGCTTAAATGAGGCGCCGGCCCCAATGAGAAAAAAAACAAAACACTTTATTTCTTCAGGTTATCCTTGCACAAGGACGCACTTGGTTGCTCAATAAAAGTGTATGCTGAGCAGCCAAAGAATACTCCAGTGTAGCATGAAGATGTGCATGAAGCATGTAGCATGAAGATGAGCATGAAGATGTGAATATCTGTATCCCCTGCAGCATCTGCGCATGCGCCAGAATCAGGGAACACAAGTTGAGCACTGAGCTAAAGCCGAAGAGGTACCTGAAGTCACTTAACTCCTTACATGTCGGACTACAGCACAGGAAAGGGGTGCTACAGCTGCTCTGAAATCCTGTATCCCCGGGGATTGACACTATTAATATTGATGACCTGTGCCTGTGTCCTTGCTCGGCTGTAACACTGCTTGAGCTTTTAAATGCTGACCATTGAAATGGCTGTGTTGTAGTCTGGCATGTAAGGAGTTAAGTGACTCAGCTCGGTGCTCAGCATGTTTTTTCCGATTCTGTCGCATGGGCAATTGCTGCAGGGAATACAGATTTCCACAGGATACAGATCTTTATGCTACTGTATGTGAAGCTGTGTATGCTGTGTAGCAGTGAAGGGGTTACGTGTAGTGGGCTAGGTCTGCTGAGTGAAGCTGTCTTGCTCTCCTGGTGGAAGGGGAAGCCTGATCTCTGAAATTGCTCATAGAATTACATTTCATTTCTTTTTCTCCAATTTTATTAAAAGTCACTCCTCATCTCCTGACCAAGTGAAAATATCTACTTTCCACTCAGATCACCACAATAACTTCCTGTAGGAGAATTTGATTTCTTTGCTGGATTAGATTGATACAGTCTTCTTAGTGCTTTCTGTGGGTTTGGAGAGTGATAAAGATCCAAATATCAGACTGATCATCTGCTTGCCAGCAGCAGGGCTAAATGTCAAAGAAAACCACCTGCCCGGCACTCGAAACTGCATGCCCCAGGCATTTGGCGATATGATTTGTACATCCCTGGATCTAGCTGATAAAAGATCTATTGTTATTATGTTTATATGCAAGTTGAGTAAGTACTAAAATTTTAATGGCTATCAGGCTCTTCTCTGCACAGTAAAGCAAGCAGCAACAGAAGACACGCTGACAGAAGGAGAGAGTAAAGCAATGACTTCAGTCGGCCATACATTGATCAAGATTCAGTTGTGTCCATTTACCCCACAAAATACTCATCCACATTTAACCACTTGCCCTCCAGAGGATTTGCCCTCCTTCCTGACTAGGCCATTTTTTGCAATACAGCACTGAGTCACTTTAACTGACAATTGCGTGGTCATGCAACGCTGCACCCAAATCAAATTTGCGTCCTTTTTTCTCCACAAATATAGCTTTAAGTGGTATTTGATCACCTGTGTGTTTTTTATTTTTTGCGCTATAAACAAAAAAAGACCGACAATTTTGAGATAAAAGAAAAAACTATATTTTTGACTTTTTGCTATTAAACATGTCCAGTACAAAAATTTGAAAAATCAAATTTCATCATAAATTTAGGCCAAAATGTATTCTGCTACATGTCTATGCTAAAAAAAAATCCCAATACGTGTAAATTAATTGGTTTACGTGAAAGTTATAGCGTTTACAAATGGCGGTATATATACTGGAATCTTTTTTTTTTGTACTAGCAATGGCGGCAATCAGCTACTTATAGGACTGCGGCGGGCATTCTGACACTAGGGGGAAACTGACTTGGTGTCACGGATATCCCCAGTGACACCAATACAGTGATCGGTGCTAATAAAAAGCACTGACACTGTACTAATGGCACTGGACAGGAAGGGATTAACATGTGGGGTGATCAAAGGGTTAACTGTGTGCTGTGTGTGTGCTTTACATTGTAAGCAGAGCTATGCTATGCAGAGCCATACAAAGCAGTGTACATGAGTGGACAAGGGAGAGATCTGTGTTTATACACAGGTCTCTCCCCCGTCGGAGATACTCTGACATCGCCATGTTATGGCAAGGAGTCACCGGCTGGGACCCAGTGACTGCCAGCCGAGGCCAGAAATAGTGGCGCGTATAGGGAGTGCGCCCCCTACCTAGAACTGCAAAATCACGTATATATACACATGATTTTGCGGACCCGTGATGCTCTGTAGCAGTATTTCTGCTATAGGGTGGCACAGAAGCGGTTAAATTTACCAACAAATACCCAGTTTGAGGGCCTGCCTAATTTTTTTTACAAACTGAATGGTCTGTCTAGTTTAAGTAAATGTAAAGTGAATTGTACAATCAGATTAAACATGTACGGTCAGCTTGGCTAATGCAGCGTGTTAGACTTCATTCACTCTCCATTAAGACATTAAGGAGCTGTATCAGTGGAGTGGCTGTACTTGAAAAGTTATCACTGGATTAATGTACTTTCCTGCTAAATCCAAATAAGAAGCTGAATTCCAGAATTGTGCTTGTAAGTCACAGAATGGTGATAAACCGTTCACTAGAAATCCACTCCTCCAAGCTGCTGTTGACTTCAGCTTCAACACTTTTTTAAGCAGTTTTGCTGCACCTGGCACAAGTTCACCATTAGTGAGTTTATATCATTGATATATCATTTGTGCAGTTTCAGGGATACTTACACTGGGGTGCCTCAGATGAATAATTATGTAATGGTTCAGAGACGTACTGTGCCATGCCAGCAGCAATATTGTTCTGTGAATCAAAATTACTATTAATGAACCGATTCAGGTCCATGTCCTCCAAACCATTTTCCAGACCTTCAAACTCCTCAGGTATCAAGGGTGTATCAGGGTCATATTGTGGTGTATCAGGGTCATATTGTGGTGTTTCAGCAAAGTGTCGTGGGGTTTCAGAAGCAATACTGCTCTGTGAATCGTCTATGTTCCTGGAATTAAGGAAAAAAAATATTGCCTGATGAATACAAAGGATATAATTACAAGATGATAATCACAATTATTGAAGTGAACTTATTATGCTGGCTGAACTCCAATTAAATGCACAGTTTCAAGGCAGGTTGGGTGCACCCTACACTATAAAGATTTGGAAGAGAGGAGGGATTGCTGTTAAATCTTGCCGTAACATTAATTTGCTGATAAACTTGCTCCCGCATTTTCCTATTGGCCCATCACTATGATTGGCAGCATTGGTGGCTAATAGGAATATGCAAGGGACAGGAAAGGCTGAACTATGCCCACAAGAGGAGATGGAGATTTAGCTGTGGCTGTATATACAGAGACTGTCTAGAAGCCTTGTGTGCAATAGTTGGCAACAGTAGCAGGCACTGATAACATTGTTTCAGTGGGTTAGCCGCATCCTCCAGAAGGGCAGGGGATGAGCCGATAGATAGGCCGGTTGTATGCTTGGAACCCAAAGCACCTGCATAGCCGTTTACTGCTACAGTCACTCTCCTGTCTTACTAACTCAGTAGCTCACCGTTCAGAAACAATGATCAGCCTTCGCTTCATGTACTTCTGATATTCCAGTGTTACTGGAAGAAAAAAAAAAAGACAAGAATCTTATGATAAACAAGGAGAAAATCATGCATTGTTTATTGGGCTCATTTTTGCTCTAAAATAATAGCTGAAAAAATGTCACGTAACAGGATACAAAATACTGCCGTCACAGTACACAAAACAGATCAAGTTCATCAGGAAATGTTATATTCTTTTGATAATTTGCTTTGAAAAGGTTTTCCTTCAAACATCTAGATCTTTGATTGCTATGATATGTTGTTTAAAGCAGGTCTAAACCTTTAACTAGATGACATTTAGTTTGCTAAAGCAGTGTGTATCAAACTGTAATAATTTTTTTTTTTTTTATAAAATTCGGTTTTCACTTTTTTTTTTTGTGCTGCTGGGTCTCCTCCAGTCTCTTTCAGACACTTCCTGTCTATATGCACTCACTCCAGAGACAGTTGCACAACATTGCTATGGACCAGCCTGCTGACAGTGACAATGATGGACCATGGCTGCTTAATGTATCAGCACAGGGACCACCAGGGGTGGACAGATGGCATGTGACAGGAGACAGTGGCCACCCTGTAACAGAAAGTGCCTGAACCAAGGACAGTTTTAGCTTTGGATTACAGAGTGTTAAACCCTAGTGATTTATTTTCTGTCACAGGAACAGGTGTCCCCATTGGAAGATTTTCCCTCACCTTTTGCTCTGGAATAACTCATACAAAATTGCATCTACCGCTCACTTACTCTTCAGGTGAGAATGGTCACCAGGACAAATAGAGGAGTGAACATCTCCAGCAGAGACAAAGCCAGCAATAAAGAACTGACAAAAGGTCTTACTCTCCCCAACTCTATCCAAAATCAAGGAGAAAAACAAGTTTGCCTTTACATACACTTTTAAGCTTAACCCCTAGACGCCGAGCAAATATGCGGCCTCTCGGCATCTGGGCCTTGATGCTGAGCGGCCATATATTTGCGTGCCATTAGAGAATACATATGTGCTGAGAGCGTGTGCCCTGCGTGTTCCCAGCACATATTTCCATGACTCACGGAAAGGTCCTGATCTCCCCTTGTGATCGGGACCTTTTCCAACCACGTGACCGCTATAATGGCGAATCACATAACCCTAAAACCCAGTCCACCTCCTGAAACTCTTAAAGGGCCGGGAGGCACCGGTGCTAAGAGGTTAAAGTGGTTCTAAAGGCAGAAGGTTTTAGCATGTGGAACCTCCTCCCCTCGCCGACATACTCTCTCGGCTCTCTCTCTCTTCTCATTGGGTCAGACACAGCAGTGGGAGCCATTAGCTGTTAGTCACAGCCAGTGAGGGGGAGCTGTCTTATGGATACACAGAGCCAGCTCGGGATTGAGCACACACAAATGCCCCCATAGCAAACGACTTGCTATGGGGGCGCTTGGCAAGGAGGAAGGGCCAGGAGCTCCAGCGGGGGAACTGAGAAGAGGAGGATTGGACTGCTCTGTGCAAAACAACTGTACGAAGCAGGTATGTTATATATACTTAATGAGATTTAAAGGATTGGGCTTACATGTACTTTAAGCACAAATGTTATCCTCAAGGTGGGTGTTGTGTACACTCAAGAGTAAGTTGTGCTTGGTCTATTCTCAATATATAAACCATCTGATATAAATGAATAAGGCAAAGTATTAAGTACTTGACTTACCCTCACTTCTCTCTTCATAGTATTTCCCAAAAGCGTCATCCTTGGGGATTTTGGGATATAGATATTTCAGTGGGTTCTCTGGGATATTTTCCTCTGCTAAAAGTTGGTAGTTGCGAATAATCTCAGTGAGGGGGATGTGTGATAGCTCCTTCTTTGTATATGGCTGCACAGAGCGGATAGAGTAGCTTCCTATGGGGAGGAGACCAAGATCAGTTTAGGGAACATATCTACCAGCCTCTAAAAATAATAAAATCCAGTACACAAAAGTGTATATTTTTAAAAAATAATTTCCACATACATTTTGAAAAATGCTGTTTGGCACATCACAAATAGTATTGTTTGTTTAAGGGAGACATGGAACACTAGACAATTTTGCCATTTTTAAAGTGTATGTAAACCCAAATATAAAACGTTTGGAACTACATTCTTCTGTCCCACACTGAATATCTGGTGATCCTTCCAGTCCTCTTGACAAATCCTAGGTTTCCCATTGCTTCCTGATCCTGCCAACTAGGAAAGTGTCCAGTGTGTCCCTTCTTTTTCATTGGGACTTACAGGACATCAGATCGACATATCGCCTGCCCAACCCTGCAAAGTTGTATTGACGGTGGAGGAGGAGTCATGCCGTCAATAGCTTCTGATGTATTTTGGAGTCTCCATCCCCAACCCATGCATCTCAAACAAGGAAAGAGTGTATAGCAGACATGAACTAAAATGGAAAAAAAAAAAAGGAGGTATTTGGAAGAAGTCTGATGAAATTAAAAGATCCAGCAATTGCAAATAAAGTTATGTATGGTAAAGGGTTTACATCCACTTTAATATAGTGGGATGTCTGAAGAGGTGGTGATACATCACTGTGTTGGGGAATTTTTTTGTATTGTATTGTTTGGTGAACCCTCTTGCCATGTGTACCTTTCTTTTACTCGATTTGGTGCAGACAGACATTGGAGACCTTTGGCCAGCCACTGAGTGAGTCTGGAAATCTGATCATTGCAATTTACTGACTGTCACAAGTTGGAAGCTCTGTTCGATTAGAATTAGGGACCACGTTCTGCAGAGAAGCCGAGGTACGGCAGTGTGGCTTCACATAGAACTGAAAATGTATGCAACATAAACTTCTTTTTTAATGCAAATTGTTGCAATAGCGTGCTGCAGACTTTTTTGTATTGTTTATTTATGTGGAACGCGAAAAATGCGTCGCAATTGCGCAAACAACCTCATGGGACGCGCGACGCCGAAAAAAGGTTCCAGAACGAATGTTAAAGGGGAACTTTACTCATAACTAATTGATAGAAAAGTATGATTTTTAGCAAGAAATATACATTCCATGTTAATAATTATGCTATCAAAATAAGTGTGCACTGTAAATTGTCTCCAGCATTGTTTCTGTTTCTTCTTGCGCAGGCTACCATTTTGCTGAAGCCCGGAGCCCCTGAGCAGCAGTAAATCTTTAGGCTGTCAGCACAATGGCCTCAACAAATTTGCCACAGTACCTAAAAATAGAGAGAAACTGAGCATGTGCAGAGCAGGGTGAGACAGTGTATTACTGGATTTTAAACAGACAGTTACTTATTTTTAATGTTTTACATAACTATACCTGCAAAAGGGACCAGCCTGAAGTGATCTAGCAGGACTTCAAGGTTTTTTTTTTTGCTTTTAAAGTGGAACATTAGTCAAAAATTGAACTACTTTCAAATGGCATTCGAATGATCTGAGAATGTTTGTACAAATTTGTTAGAAATTCTACTAGTGTATACACAACTTTAGAAAGCCTGTGAGTGCAACAATAACAGCCTTTTCTTTCCTACACTGAGCATAGCAACACCTGAAATGTGATCTGGCCAGCAGCACACCCCATGTAATAGAGTGTCTCCACTTAGGATGAAGGAGCACAGGGGGTATCTTTGGACAGTAGCATTATTAATCTGGGGGGAGGGGAGTGTTAGTGTATCTAAATCTGCTAGTGCATCTAGTATATCTAACAAATTGAAGCCATACTCCAGCTAACACTTTACAATCTGTTTTTCCTTTTGGGATAAAGGTTTTACATGATTAAATAAAAAATGATCATTGTAAGCACCCTTATCAGTAGTAAATGCTTCTTCTCAACCCTGTAACCGCTGCATTTGTAGGACAGCTTGTTCTTTTGAAAAACAACAGACTTACTTAATACTGCTTGAAGGCTGGTGTTGCTGACCTTCTTTCTGAGCATACTAGTTCCGTAGCAATCAAACCTATCCAATTATCTTCATACCTATGCTGATTAAGCGTTTTGACCTTTTCTCATTTGCACGCTTTTTCCAGGTCAATGTCTCCATATACTGATGCCAGAGACAGCCATGCATATAGCATTTTCAGAAGGAGGTTAGCTATGACAGCGCCTGTATGTCCCGCATTTTAGTATATCTTCAACTGTATCCAAAAACATTACAGCTCAAGTATTTTTTATAATCTGAATACACGCTTGCAGGGATGCAACTCTAATTCATGGTGCCTCCCAGCAACCTCTCTCTGTGATACCTGGCATGGTCAACTGAGACAGTGGAGACGGTGAGTAGTCACTCTCTGCTTGATAAAGAAGCTATGTGCTCCAAACGACGATTACATTGTGAAAAATAATGATGATGTTTATGATGTGTTGGTGAATTTTGATGTTCTAAGATTCATCTGAGAAAATAATGTAATGTTATTGATGCTATCCCTTAATACAAACTCTGTAAACAGTAGCTTTTTTTTCTGTAGAATTATAACCCCTTATGTCTTATTAGTTTTTAGCTGAACAGACACATTAGGATTTTTAGCCTCAGGAAAACTGCATTAGGCATGCAGGGTTATTATCAAAGTGATGGCCAGGATGACGAGAAGCTCTGAAGGCAATAAATCTACTCAGATTGGGGAAGCAAGGAAGACCTTAAGATCAAAGTTAATAATACAGTACTGGATCTATGTTACCTTTACATGCACATTGATTTTCAATGTTTAAGTTGACTCAACAATCCTTCTAGGAGGGCTGTTCTCACACCCAGGGACTATAGTTGAACTGCATGCTTGTGACTTATAAAACTAACGAAATGTAACATATCTAAAACCTCTTAAAAGTACTATTATTGACTTGAATTAAAATTTGATTTGACCTGTTTAGATGTCTGTAGAAGATTTAACTATTGTAGTGCTGTATCAGAATGTCATACCATCATACTGGTGGTCCACCCAGGAACATGTGATGCCACCATCATGAATGCTCTCACTAAAGCGGAGCAGGAAAGTGCCTTGTTGTTTTCTCTTCAAAAGAGAGTCCTCCACACTGCGGCTCACAAATCCCATTACATGGCTGTGATAAAACACAAGAAGATTATTTGAGCATGTGAGATATCAAATTTTTGGTTATAAAGAAGACAGCAGGACTAAGCTCAGAATTAGAGGAGGCATTCCTAGGCTTCCCCTGTGTCACAGGTCTCATAACAAGGAACTCCAGCCCAGAAAAGCCTCTGTTTATACTGGTAAAGCTCTGGTCTTAGAAGGGTGTAAGCAGGGAAAACACTGAATACTAGGGCCTGAGGGCAGTGCAAAGAGGACCAAAGGTCTGAACCAAGAGCTTGGATCAGTGGTGGTCAACTTGAAAATGAAAAAGGGCCTCAAGTGTAGCCCCCAACACTACAGAGGGCTGAATAATAGCAGTTTTTGTGCATTGTGTCAAGTTAGGCACCCTATTCAAAATGAATGGGTTATAATGCACCCCGAAATTTTGGTCTAGAGAAGGAGTACAATAACCCCCAGCATTGGTGTCAGTGACAGTATAATAACCCCCAGCATTGGTGTCAGTGGACCAAGGATAACCCCCAGCATTGGTGTCAGTGAATGCTATAATAACACTCAACTGTTGTGTCAGTGGATGCTATAACAACAACCCCCCCTCCCTGATAATTGGTGTTGGTGGATGCAAAAATAACCTCCATCATTGATGTCAGGGTGTGCAATAATAACCCTCAACCTTGGTGTCAGTGGATGCAACAATAGACACTAGCTTTGGTATCACTAAGTGCAATAATAAATCCCAACACTGATGTCAGTGGCCGCAATAATAGCCCCCACTACTAGTGTCAGTATTATTAATGGGGGGGTTAATCCCCCCACACACATGTGACCATTGACAGCAAAATCTAACCATGTATTCCCAGCGTTCCATCACCCGGCACACCACAGCCGCTCTGCTGCCAATAGCTTGCAGGCCGCACACAGGGGGACAGTGGGCTGTGTGTGTAGGACCCCAGGGGCCTAGATGCTCCAGTCATTGATCTACTTGTTTGATGACAATGTTTCATTCCGCACACAAATTGCAATCTAGCGTCCGCTATTTTTAGGTGACCAGCAAATATGAGCTATAATACTACAGTAGAATGCCCATTCAGTTTTCATATTTACAGGTAGTACTGGTGTTATGAATTTTTTTTCTTTAGGAGATTACCTAGTGCTCTTTCCCACTCAAGAAAATGTATAAGAAATCTCACAGGTATAAACAGGCCCTTTCTTCATGCTCGGTTGTTTATCGAAAAGTAGAATGTCACTTTGTACTAAAACAACATAATTACCCATCGTTCCAGATGTTCTCTAGATGCCCTTTGACAAGTGCCACAATGGCATCAAACCATACCCAGAAGGTAAACGAAACTCTGGGCATGGATTCCTGGCAATAATAAACGAAAGATTTATCTAAAAAAAATCTAAATTTTTCTCCACATACAAGCTGACATATACAGTAACATAACACATACTATTCAAGACGTTCCCTACTGTAGGGTTCTATGAAAATATACAGTTCTAAGAATCTTTAGTAAAATGCTGACCATTAAAAGATGGTAAATATACTATGTACTCTGACAACATTTGTAACTTTTTAATTGCAACAGAGAGGATGAATTAGGACTGTACCATAACGTACATCTAAAAGGCTCCTAACATGACAGTCATAAAGTCCCAAATCCAGTGTGATGCGATGCACAAGCCTCATAAAAAGTAAAAAAAAAAAAAAAAAAAACAAACAAAAAGGTCTTTTACTTGTCCTAAGTCAGCCAATCCTCCTTCATTTTTGCCTAATATACACATCCTCCCATACACATCAGCTCACAGATGGAGTCAATTTTGAAAGCAGGTGTCAAGGATAAAGCTGGCCATAGCAGGGACCAGCCAAATTTTGATTATCTATGGGCAGGCTGGATGTACTGAAGTCAATCAATCGACTTCAGTACTGTTGGTTTTTTTTTTTGTTCGACCAGTGCTGCCGGCAACACTGATCAGTGTAGTCTGACGGAGGGGAACTCTCCCTGTTCTCAGGGCACAATAGCTCCATGGGAGAAATTCCCCCATCAACATGAAGTGTGTTGGTGGGGGTATGTAGTGATTTTATTTTGTGTGACCCGATGGTTGAATGAAAGGTAATGTTTAATCCTTGACCAGCCTAAGTGTGACTCACCTCTCACTGGCCTGTGTATCAACAGGGACAATGAAGATAACCAAGCTCCCTGCAACATCTTATCACTGTAGTGCAGACAAAGTCTACATTATGGGGACAACTCTGCTCAACTATACCATCATAGGAAGTTCCATGAGATGGACTTCACTGGCAGGATTAACATCTCTTTTTAAACTCTACAGGGGACTAAGGGAAAACTGTAAGTGCAGATGCAGTTATAATTAAGTATGTCATCACATTGTTCTTTTAAATGGGAGGCCATAGTTCTACATTAAAATGAAAAGATATGCAGTTTACCAGTCAATACATATTTACTTGTATTTCATTGTAACAGTTCTAGTCATTACCAATTCTTCAGTATTACAGTATGGAAACCTTACTTTTGAGAACTTGGCCCAAGTCACAGCATTCCCTTCTTTAGCTACTGCACCTTTAAGCAGAAAAATATATGAGATTGATATTTGCATCAAGTAAATAAAATGACTTAGGAGTATTAAAAGCAAAACAGACATAGCATAGAACACGAGGTTGTATAAAAGACAGGATGCAAACACATCAGACAGTAGACTGAAAATTGAGAAAGAACAGAACTAATGAGTACTGACAAGTGTGTCCACCAGAAACATCTAATGAGTTTCTCCTATTGGTGTCCACTTTAACAGAACTATTGCGTATACACATTTGGTAATAGGAGCTTTGCAAGGTCCCCAGGGTCACATGTTAGCTAGGGACCACTGGAGGATGCAGGGGCTTTCAGGTTGGCTGAGTGGGTGGAAAAACTGGGGATCATCCATTCTCCAAAACACGGAGAATGAACCCAGAAGTGCTTGAGCCCTTGATACATCCCAAAAAGAGAACCTGTCACTACTAACACATAGGCGGCTATCCAAGCACCCTTGTGATAATAGTAACTTGAGAAAAAGTAAAAATGAATAAAACATTTTTTTAGATATAATAAAACAAAAATTTAGCGTTATTCATTGGATATCCTTTAAGATGCCAAAAGGTAGAAACATCATTTCAGGCTGTTATTTTAATTTAACTTTGAATTGATAAGCAGTAATAGATTTAATATGTTGTCTATTTACAATTTTGGATATGCTTGTTTTTAATCACAATTTAATCCTAAAATGTTTTTTTATTATGTAACATGGGCTTCTCTTTTTATACCCATTGGCAATGGCCCTACTGCACACTAACATCATCTCAGGCCAGTCAGTGAATTAGAGCCATTGTACTAAAAAATGCCTTTTGTCAAGATATCTAAAATATCTGCTGCACTTTTTTGACGACCATATGGCTCAGCCATACTGCATGTTTGAAAACCCACACGTTTAGGTACTGGGATAAATAGGAGAAAATGCAGTAAAAATATTTGGAATAATAATAAATATACTTAACATGTTACTCATTAAACCAAAACTGCTTTTGTTTTTTGTATTATTGTCCATTTCACCAATTATTCTAAAAAGGTGTATTCAATGCATTTTTATAAGCATTTTACCACACGAATGACTCACATGTGCTTATAAAAAGTGTGAAAATCATTTTGGTATGCAAAGTAGTACAAAATTCCCACATACTAGAACTTCAAACTTTGGTCTTGTCACAAAGGTTTTTTACCACCCCTAGACATGAATATTTTAATGAGGACTTGCTGGGCTTTAGGAATACTAAGGGATCTATCAATTCAGAAAGGAGTGCAAAGCTCCCTTTTATAAAATAGCTGGTAAGTATTTTAAGGCTCCATGCACACTAGGAGCTGAAAAACCGCTGGATAAAAAAAAACACTATTAGCATTTTTTCCAGCCCTTTTTGTGTCGGCATTTAGCTGGTTGTTAAAGAGCGACAAGGGCCTCTTCCCCAAAAACTCTGGGTAGTGGTTGTGGAGTCTGCGGGCAGAGGGCTTATCAGAATCTGGAAGCCCCCTTTAAAAAGGGGGCCCCCAAACCCCCCCCATGTGAATGAGTATGGGGTAAAACAAAACAACAACAATGTCCCCGGAAGTAAATTCAGCATCAAATCACGTTGAATGCCCTGCTGACCTGAAAATACAAGAAAACCCCCCCACATGGTCTGTACCCGATGCTGCTAATTAATTCAAGGGATGGGGCCACCTGGTGAGCCTACCTCGTCATGACATCATTGACCCAGCATGCCCTGGTTGATGTCGCAAGGAAGAAGGGGTCACCCAACGGTGCCACTGGGTAGCCCAGTACTTTTGTATATTTAGCAGCGGGAACCAGCATAGGGTTCAGACTGTTTTTTTCTTCCGGTTCTGCAGCGTTCAATGTGATTGATGCTGAATTTGTTCTAGTTTTAATAAATGACTTGTTTTTAGTGATTTTTGACAGTTCTTTTGTGAATGAGTTGCACACTCATTTACGGGGGGGAATCTGGAAGTCTCCTTGTTAAAGAGGGCTTCTAGATTCAGATAAGCCCCCTGAACACAGACTCCCAGAACCACCATTGGCCAGAATTGTGAGGAAGAGGCCCTTGTCCTCAACAGGGCACCCGCCCCCCCCACCCTTGCTGAAAAGGGACTGGTATAGATTTTGGGGGGGGGGACCCACCCTATAGATTTTGGGGGGGGGCCCACCCTCACCATTTTTTTTTTTTATAAATTTTTGTGTGGGGTTCTCCTTAAAAACCCGAAGGGCCTGGTATGGAGTGGAGGGGGGGACTCTACTCTTTTTTTTTTTTCTCAAATTTGAATTGTCAATTCTTTGGTTTACACTACTGACCCTACTGACAGCTGATGAATCATCTGTTGCTAAGGATGCGGCGACCAGCTGTTAAAAATGCTATGGTGTGCCGTCCATTAAGGGAGCTGTGTCGAAGCCGAAACTCCAATTATACATGTGTGGGATTGACGACATCGCGGCTCGGCCAATCAAATGGGTGCAGATCGTGAACCCGGAAGGAAGACCAGGTGAAGATGGAAGCCTCGGAGAGCTGTGACAGAACTCCACTGGAGGGCTTCGTTTCTAGGCAAGCCTCTCATAATGTGCTAGTATGCAGCTGCCATGTATGAGCAAGTGAGAACTCCTGCTGTAGTATAAGGAAAGGCATAAAGAAACCTTGTGCATACAATTGTGTATATATTTTAAGCCCACTGTGACCCATTGAAGAACGCTAGGGATTGTCACAAAGTGAGGGAGCTCAGGGTTGTACCAAATAAGATTATTGGGAGAGAAGACTTGGGTTGTTGATGGAGTTATCCTGAGACAAAGTTTATAAAATTTCAAGGAAATGGGCAAAATAGAAACACCCTCACAGACATGTACGTAAGGATTTAAATTGGGGTCTCCAAATGTTCTAAACAAAGGGCAAGGGTACTGTCCCTTAGAGGCTACAGGAAGGCTGGACTGTGGCCAGTGGGAAGTAGAAAATGTCCTGGCATCAGTGGGAGTAAACAATACCTCAGGCTTAGTGGTCAATGGGAATAAAAATATTACATAGCATCGCTGATCAATAGGAGAATGAATAGTGCCCCATCATTGGTGTCAGTGAGATGAATAGTGCTCCATCATTGGTTTCCATGGGAGGAATAGTGCCCCATCAATGGTGTCAACGAAAGGAATAAAGCCTCATCACTGGTGTTGGTGGACGGAATAGTGCCCCATTGTTTCTGTTGGTGGGAGGAATAGTGCTCCATCATTGGTGTCAGTGGCCAATTGTTGGTGTCTGGTGTCAGTGACTGAACCCAAACCTTCGCAGCACCTTCGCTTCGGGTCAGTTTCCCCTCCCTTGACCCCATAATACAGCTGACAAGTTACTGATAGTGATTGGCAGTCTATGCAAATAAACATTAGCTCCCACCCCCACTTACAAAAATGCCCATTCATTAGGTGCCTGGCCAAAGTGGAATTCTAAGAATTAGACCCATGACATCACAGATTTCTCAGGGAGTTTGTAGGTAAACAGTATAGTTGATTGCCAAACTATTAGAAACTTTTATTTACACATGTGACAACACTGATAGGGCATTTTAACTTGCATCCCGCAAATCAGCTTTAATGATCACAGAGCTGAATTCATTCTATTATATTTAGAATTCAGCTTTAAGCATGAGCTTAGAGTCAGTCTGTGTAAGAAGACAAATGTGTTAGAATAAGATTATAGCAATTACAAAGATTAAGGAGTTTTAAAAACAAACTATACCACATAGTTTCTTTTCCAACATTTGTCGCTGGTCTTGATTCAAACCCCGCTCAGTACAGCATGACAACTGCCAACTCAGGGCATCAGCTAGGAGAGACCAAGGGGCATCTGGGGGGTTGGAGAAAAACTTCAAATCCTAAAAAAGAAGCAAACATAAGTAATCCAGAGCTCCTACAAAGACAACATTCTCATTGTTAGAGCACAAAACACATCTGTCTCTGCTCGCATATTCATCTACTCACATGTACAGATACTAAATTTATATACCTATTTTTCTGCACTCATTGCCATACCAGTCCTATTAACAGTCCAGGTTCCACTTCCACCCTTATTTAAAGGTTTACTCTCAACACATTTATTTAGCCAGTAAGTGCAATATTAAGTACACTAAGTTTTCAGAAAGCTTTTACTATAGAAAACACTCCTTTTTAGACTTTTAAAAGTCCTGCCTAGAAGACAACACAGGGTGGTCTATAGTTTTGAATCACTCTGGTACTGGGACCCAGCTTTCCCTGACTTAATGACTAAGCTTCAACTGCCATCCCCAATTCTAACAGGACAGAGGCATATTAGCTACTGAAGCAATTTCACTGAACTGTGAAAAGGCAGTTGATGGGCTTAGCCATGAAGTCAGGGATACTCAGGTCCCAGTAACCAAGTAAAAATAAATCAAAGAAGCACACACTTTTCCAGGTAATAATTGGTCCTGTTTGGCTCCGAAATGTTGCACTGTGCTTCTGTTATGTGATCATTCTTTAATTAAGTTTTGGACGTAATTGGACAATCCTTGGTGTGCTGGCAAATACATGCACTTGATTCACGATGTCTCCAGTTCCAGCTGGTTGTTGCTACAGCACCAGCTACTCCTAAAGCCCTATCCAGGAAAGTGTTTGACGGGAATATCGATATTACTCTGTCCCTGCCAGCAGAACACAATGAGCACTGCTGGAGGCTATAGCCACCAGCATTGATCACATGAAAAAAAAAAAAAAAAGGACAGGCTGTTTGTACTGCGGGGTCGATGGGTCGACTTAAGTACAACCAACTTGCCCATAGATGGATTGAACCTCAGCCGGTCCCTGCTAACCTGGCCAAGATTCAATCCATCTGTTGCCAGCTTAACCAGTGATCATGAAAACTCAAAAGCAAATAAATAAAAACCATCAGCACCTTCTCAAATCCACACTAAACTGAGTTCTTGCAGTTAAGTGCTTGATTAGGCTGGAATTGTGTTCACCTTTAAAGAGACTCTTACCTTTGGATCTGGGCTCAGCAAATTAAACCAAAGCACTGAGGCCCAGGCTCCTGTGAACTGAATGATGTTGGAGATCACAACAAATGGTAAGGTAACAGCCTGAGTAAACAGAATACAAGACAACACTGTATAAGATTTTTTTCATTAACAAATAGATAAGGGGAGAAAATGTAAGTAGCAAAGCAAATCTGAAGCTTGTTGTCCAACATGTCTGATACACTTAGATATTTCTGTCTTGATTTTTAATAACTCATGCACTGAATATTTTCTAAGGGCACCTAAACTGTTCAAAAGTCTGGATTACACATACTCCCCATTATTCTTATTACAAAAAGCAGACATAGGGTGGTTTATATCCACTGCCATAATAGGTGCATGATATACAGTTGCCTTATGGTCCACCAGACTGGAATGATATCCAAGGTACAATACCTCCCACAGTCAAGGTTGGGAGATGGAGACCCCTGTGCTATATAAAAGTGCATTTAAAAGAGCCAGAACTCACTTACAAATCCTTCAATAGAAGTTTATTGACAGTTGGCTTAGCGCTGTTGTCATGACTGACTATTGGCTGATTGTCAAACTGTTTGTAAAGGGTCTGTGACGAAGTGACAGCCCTTTAAATTGCTGTACTTACTGACTACCCGCAGGAGTCTGTGTTGTGCATCTGTGTTCCGTATTCATTCCATTGCGTGGAGGAGGTCTCGTTTTGTGTTGCTATACACAGTACATGTGCATAGGAAAGCTTCTCCTGCTGATCTCTGCAGCAATGCAAAGTTCATCCAAAGCACCACCATGGACATGACTAATACTGCCAATTTTGTTATGGATAGTTACCAGTGGCTCAAATCATCCACTGATGATCATCTACCCAAAATGAAAAAGAGTTTTGTGTGAACTGACCCCTTAATGCAAGTACATTTCCAATCCGCGTAAGTAAAGGCAATTTTTTGTGTTTATAAAAATGAGACCTGCTCAAATATCAAATATCTCCAAAGTCATTCATGATTATCACACCATGAGACTAACACTGGATATGCATTAGGCATGTAAATTGCAGAGAAAAGGCCAACAATCACCTCTAAAGTCAATTCGACCCCTTCGTATTTGAACTTTGTTGTACATGTAATGTTGTGTAGCTCCTCAATCACACTGACTGATCCCTAAAAAAAAAAAAAAAAAAAAAAAACGGCAAACAAACACAATATCAGCAAGTGAAACCAGATAGTGAAAAAGCCAAACCTCTACCTGTAAAAGATAAGTAAAGCTAAAACAAACAAAAATATATTACATAAAAGTGGCAGCAAAAAAAATGTATATATCTGGAAATTATATTATCACAACAGAGAACCTTTTTGACATGTATGCGGTGTCTCCCACATATTGTACATTTCTGTCAAACTGAACAGTTTTTTTTTTTTTTTTTACATTTAGAAATGCACATTAGGGTACATTGTGTAGACAGAAGCTAAACACGCTATATGTGCGTTCCAGCCATGTGCCCCAAATCTTGTAAATTTTGCAGGGCATGCACATGTAATTTAGATATGTTTAAACTTGGGTAGAGCCTTGTTAAATCAGCCTAATACAGAGTTTGTTTTATCACATGAGGTAGGGTCTTTCCATTGGAGCAATTTGTGCGCATAGAAACCAAGCAAACAGAATTGGATCCTGGTATATATCCCTTAAAGCATTACTAAACCCAGGACCCTGCATTCACCATATTCGGTCTTCCATAGTACACAGAACATGGAAGTGCAATTATTTTAGTAAATATAAACTGCTAAATACCTTTTCTGATCAGCAGTACATAGCAGTCTTGTGACTCTTATCAGTGTCCGGCCGAGCACTGGTTAAAGCTTGTGGGAGGAGTTTTAATTCTCCTCTGACTGTCCTATGAGGCAGCATGACCTCTGTCTGGACAGTGCTGATCACATGCACCCCCCCCCCCAAGAAATAAAACTCTCTAGCAGTACGCACCAAACTGAGCATGTCCAAAGTGCCTCCTAGCAGATGGATTGGGGACTGTAGAAGAAGGGGAGGATCGGGGAAGACAGGATCAAACATCTGTTTTACACAATGCGGAGGATTAACCTCTTAGGTTCCACAGTGAGTAGAACAAATATGCTTTACTGCATATACTGTCTGATTTTACTGTTGTGGGTTTAGTAGAACTTTAAATAAAAGGTAGTTCCCAGAAAGTGCATTATCTCAGGTAGAAATAGAACCAGGAATCTCAGGGATTGGGTGAAAAGGTAGTACATAGATCGTCAAAAGGGCTGAATCTGTGGTCAAGTCCAAAACATGTATGAAATGCATCTCAATACCAGGTTGTAACACTATATTGTACTGAAAAGTCCAAGGAGTAGATAACAACTGTGCAAAACAGTGTTCATTAAATTACAGACATTTTCCAGAGAACGATAAAAATATGACATTACAGTCAATACTTACATTACTTGCTCCTTTACTAACTTTTCCTCCAACTCCAGCCTTTTGTTCCCTCAGTGTCTATGGGAAAAGAAATATTATTGAATAACAGTTATGTTTTTTTTTTTATATCTGAAGAGGAGCCTGGTAAGGTATAAAGTGTTTAAGTAAACCACACTACTGAAATGTAACTAAGTCTTACCAGGCACTGGATATGAAAGCTAAATATCCAGCACCTGTCCTCCATTAGGCGCACCATCAGTCTTGCTGGCTGATATGGGATTCAGCTCAAGTCAATGGCCCTCAATTTGTAAGCAACATTCTGCACCATTATGAAGCAACACACAAACTGACAACTGCAGAGGTCTGTAAACACCCCAAGGCTGGGCAATCTAGGCTCATGTTCTGAGATATGACAGTTGAATGACACCTTAGCACCATAAGGAGTGGGGCTTAACATTAACCTGGCCAAAAGTCATGGCCCTGTGCACAGCCTGGGCCTAGGTTGCAGGAGAAGGTACATGTAGGTATTACAAGCGGTTTGCACTTCTACAGTATTGTTAGCTTTGGTACTTTAGGCCTTGACAGGCTACAAATATACAGTGTTTTATCAGTGAGCTCATATTATTCAATTCCTTACCAGTCATTTGTATATGACTTGCATTATTATTAATTATTATGAATTTTCTCAATGTTAAGGACCCAAAAACTCCCACTCTATACGCTTTGACTAAGGTCCATAAAAATGCTAATACACCTCCAGGCCGCCCTATAGTATCTGGTAGAGGTTGTTTTACTGAAAAGGCGAATATTTGCACCCACATGTCATTGATTTAACTTCTTTTGTCAAAGACACGATTGACTTGTTAAAAACTTTAGATGGCATGCATGTCCCAGAGGGAGCATGTCTAGACGTAGAGGCCTTATACAACTCAATCCCACATGATCTAGGGATATCTATAGTTGAACAATTTTTGTCGAAACAAGGTCATTCTGCCCACCACTACAATCAATTAATTCTAGAACTTTTGCGGTTCATTTTGACTCATAACATTTTTTTAGTCAAACGCTCCCAACTACCTTCAGCTGCAGGGTGTCGCTATGGGGACCTGTTGTGCTACCTCTTATGCAAACTTGTACCTGGGGGGTGGGAGCATCAACTTTTTTCAAGAAAGGACCTACAGGATGATGTGGGTCATATAATCACTTGGCATCATTTTATTGATGAGGTCTTGTTTATTTGGGGAGATACCTATTTTGAATTACAATCATTTCTGTCTAAAATGACTAATAACCAATTTAATTTGAAATTTACCATGAACTGTGATCAAAAAAGTCATCATGTTCCTCGGTGTCACAATATTCATCAATGATGGAAGTATTGGTTTTTCACTATACAGTATAGGAAACCTATGGCAGGCTACAAGCTCACATCCTAAGCCATTGACATCGAGCACTCCTTTTAGCCAGTACCATAGAATTAAATGTAACTGTACAAATTTCATGAATTTTGCTAATGAAGCCAAAGCCTTACAGACACACCTCTAACAATGGGCCTACAGTAGGTCCTGCTTGAGGAAAGCCTATAACCGAGTTAAGAACCTCAACAGGTCCCAATTAATTCATCAATCTAAAACTCGATCATCTCCTTCGACTACTAAAGTCATTACTCGCTTTAGAGGTCAAGAGCATTTAGTGCGTGATATTTTGGGTACATTTTGGTATCTACTGCAGGCAGGTGACAGTTTGCAAATATATTGGCTCTTCACCCCAGTTTATATTTTGTAGATCCAGATCCTTAAAGGATCAACTGGTACAAAATCATTATGTTAGAAAAGATTTATGTAAATCCAAATCAAGGGGTACATCGCCATGTGGAAAATGTAATTATTGTTACCTGTTAAAAGCCACTGCTGTAAATCTAGCTAATGGATGTGTTTACACACAAAGATGTTCAGTTAATTGTCAAACTATCGGTGTAGTTTACTTAATGTTTTGTGACTGTGGGGCATTTTATGTGGGTAAAACCAAAACGGATGTTTTTTCAGCGCATCTGCGATCACATGTCCCTAATAAACAAAAAAAAAGACCGGAAACTCCTATCAGCAGACATGTAGGTCTCTATCACAACTATGACCTATCAAAAATATGTTTTTTTTGCTTTCAAGCACATCCCCATCCACGAGAGAGGTGGGGAGGTGGACGGTCTTTTGCAGCGTGAAACCAAATGGATTTTTACTCTGCATACCACTAAATTTTCAGGTTTAAATGATTCTATAAGTTTTAAACCTTTTTTTATAGCTTTAAAATCTCGGACCAGATCCTATCAATGTTTCTATATGTTCTTTGCCTTTAAAGTTTGGGTATGCATTTTGCATCACCATTGTCTCCATCATTGAAGGGCATTTTTGTTTGCTTTCACTGTGTAATTATTCTATGAATACCGCATTTTTTGTTAGTTTACTGTTCTCAACCTGAATATTTAACGCTTGGATGGTTGGTTCAAAATGTGTAGGATGTTCATTGAGTTTTCCATTTACAACTTAGATGGGCTAATTTCTACTATATTGTGTTTTGCCATTTGTTTGCTAGATAGCACCTATTTGCACCATTGAGCTTTAGTGTAGTTAGCGAAACATTAGGTCCAATTATTGCAGCCTATTGTATTTTTTGAGCGTTTTTTGGTGTTTTTGTTTCTTAGCATGTGTCTCTCCTTTGAGGATTGGGCTCCCATGTGGCCTTGGTTTATTCTCCTCCTCTTTATCTTTCTTTGTATCCCCTCCTCCCTTGAATTAAAGCTGAAAGTCTGCACTTCAAATTCACATGGATCGTTTCATTTTAATTAATTCTGGTGATATACAGAGCCAAAAGTATGAAAATTGTGCCTGTGCCCAAATATATATGGACCTAGCTGTACATACATACACACCATATTTTGTGGACTCTAACTTTCCTAAATATTGCACACGGATTTGGGTTATTTTTACCAAAGAAGTGTAGCAGTATACATTTTGGCATAAATTTATGAAGAAAGAAATTTTATTTGCAAAATGTTATAACGAAAAAAAACGCTTTTTCCCCCAAAATTGTCAGGTCTCTTTCATTTACTTAGCAAAAAAATAAAAAACCCAGTGATAATTAAATACTACCAAAAGAAAGCTATTTGTGTAAAAAAAAAAAAAAAAAAAAAAAAAAAAAAAAAAAAAAGATACAAATCTCAGTTGGGTACAGGGTACAGTCAAAATGTGACCGTATTGAAAGCTGAAAATTGGCTCCCAGGCAAGCCACAGGAAGATGCTGTGGGAGACTCGATCTGTCAAAAGGAGCTGTCAGATGTCCAGGATGCTGTGGCCAATCAGAACGCTGATGGAGGCTGTAGCAAACTTGCTCATCAGAGTTGGACAATGAGTTCCCCTTTTCCTTTTATTGGAAGTATTCCTCAGTCCTACAGTCCCTACCCCCTCCCTTCCTGAGAGGCAAAAGTTATATCCTGACAGATGAAGGGGGGGGGGGGGGGGGGGGGGGTCAACCCAAGTTAAGGCATCCTCAGTCCGGTGCCAGGCAGTCTGCGAAAGTGTAACCTTTCTCACCTAAAATCATGATAAGGCCAGCTCATCAGAGCATTGGGAAGCACTGATCCCAGACCTTGTGTAGGCTTACCCATCATAAAACAGATAAGGCAGCTTCTCCCCGGACTTGAAAGAAGTTGAAACCTTACAGAACCTAACAGTAAAGATGTCAGAATGAAATGAACATTCCTCGAGTCAGGTTTTTTTTCCCCTATGTTTCATGTCATGGATTATGACAGATGTTGTTCTAATTCAGCGTTCTCCTGACCCCTCCCAAAACAGCGTAATGGCCAGTATTCAGAGCCACCCCCCCTTGCAGAGGGATTTTTAAAAAAGAGACAGGCTGGCAGGCCTGGTAGAAGAAACACACATCTCCTAAGCTTAACATCGAACGAGGAGATCAAAGAACCTTCCTGCGCTGCACTTGGATCTACAAACCAAGGCATGCTGGCAAGTAACCTAACCCATTAACTTCCTTCCTATTATCTCTTTGCTGTATCTTTATATACATATATATATATTTTCGTGACATCTTTCTGTAAATATTTTATTGCACCTGTTTGACTCTTTTAGTAATAAATCTTTCTGAAAGTGTTAAACTGTTTTTAAGCGCTTACTTGCAATTCACGAATTCTTGCCTTTGAAGAGACGCTACTGTGTTTGTTTAATTCTCTGCCCAATTGGCCTGCGGGGTCCGCATTGGACAGGCGACTTTTCAATCATTATAGTGTAGATTTGATAACGGGAGTTTCCCAGTCTCCGACAAAAGTGGTGGTGGCAGTAGAGGGTTAGTTGCGTAATTACCCGACCCAGTAACAAGCGCATTCAGGCTGCAGGAACCGATTGTAGCCCATTAGCTGGACAATCGCTGTGCAGGGTGCAGCTGGGTGTGGCCTTGTTACACGTGTCACACCGCGCGGTTTTAGATCGGCCGGTCCTTCGGTCACGAGTTTGGTGAGAAGGTCTGGGGTCTGACGCCACAGGCATGACGTATTACTGTTAGTTGCGGTCGTGCGATTGTCGCATGTTGGTGGCGGCGACCGTGCGATCGTGACAGAGGGGTGGTTTGGCCTCCATCAGCCTTCTGATTGGACATCTGACAGCTCCTTTGGCAGACTGAGTCTCCTGCGGCATGCCTGAATTCCTGCTTTAGCTTCACAACACTTTCTCCAGCGGTTCTAATGGGGACTGAACTTTGGACTGGGGGCTGCACACTGAGCTTGTTTCCAGCCTGTCACCAGTGATGTCTGTGAATGCAGTACTACCTCATTTTAACCCTTTTTAATTGAATAAACATCGCTACACTATTGGTAGCTTGGCGCCTCTCTCCCCCCCTTGCAGTGTGGGAAACCGCACGTGATTCAGACAGGAATCGCATCACATTCCTGTTCATATTACATGTGATTCTTTGCAGTGTGATTTGAGCCCATTCATTGTGTATGGGCTCAAATCGCACCACAAAAGGTATCGGTAATTGGTATTGGTGAGTACTTGAGCACAAGTATCAGTACTTGTACTCACTGGTAAAAAAAGAGGTATCTGTGCATCCCTAAAAAGAACACAAGCCAATTCAACATTTTGCACAAGTAAATGCTGCACATTAAAAGTAAAGAAACCGTACCAAATGTTTGTACTCCACCGTCAGTGCTCCTTGTTGAACATTTTCTAAAGACTTGTCTACTGTTCCAAGCAAATTAAATTTACGAAATCTTTGAAGAAACAGAGACGCTTGTCAACTGCGGCTTGCAAGGAAAATTACCATATCTAGTTTGGAGAAACAGAACGAGTGATGGCCTTACCCTTTGATATCAGGTGGATTCCTGTGGGGGGAAAAAAGACACTAATTACAAATGCTGTACACCAGTCAGGTAAACAAATGCACAAGAGTGAAGTTTTCTGCTGCATGTAAGAATTACAAAATCCAGGAAATTCATTCCCATTTGTATGTGGATAATGGAGAGACAGGTGGAGCTCTACATAGACAAGGTCAAGTCCTCTCTTCGGTATGCTGTTGAGATTGGGGGGGCTTTCTGGGCAATCAGGTTAGATTAGAGAACACAACACAGATACCTCCTCCACTTCAAGTGACTATGTACATGAGGCAGGAAGGGGTGCGGTCATTTCAACACTAAAGAGCTTTGCCTGATCAAAACAGTCCAGAATGATGTCTGCAATTCATAGCTCAAAGCAAGTTTTTCCCATGAATTGAGTTTTCATTTGGTGGTATTTGATCGCCTGTGCATTTTTAATTTTTTGCGCTATAAAAAAAAAAAAAAAAAAGCTGACGATTTAGAAGAAAAAAAAAAAAAGAATCTGCATTTTTGACTTTTTGCTATTAAACATGTCCAGTAAAAAAAATTTAAAAAAAACCAAATTTCATCAGGTTTAGGCCAAATTGTATTCTGCTACATGTCTTTGCTAAAAAAAAATCCCAATATGTGTAAATTGGTTTACGTGAAAGTTATAGAGTTTACAAATGGCGGCATATACAGTGGGGCAAAAAAGTATTTAGTCAGCCACCAATTGTGCAAGTTCTCCCACTTAAAAAGATGAGAGAGGCCTGTAATTGGCATCACAGGTAGACCTCAACTATGAGAGACAAAATGAGAAAAAAAATCCAGACAATCACATTGGCTGATTTGGAAAGAATTTATTTGCAAATTATGGTGGAAAATAAGTATTTGGTCAATATCAAAAGTTCATCTCAATACTTTGTTATATATCCTTTGTTGGCAATGACAGAGGTCAAACGTTTCCTGTAAGTCTTCACAAGGTTGGCACACACTTTTGCTGGTATGTTGGCCCATTCCTCCATGCAGATCTCCTCTAGAACAGTGATGTTTTGGGGCTGTCGCTGGGCAACATGGACTTTCAACTCCCTCCAAAGGTTTTCTATGGGGTTGAGATCTGGAGATTGGCTAGGCCACTCCAGGACCTTGAAATGCTTCTTACGAAGCCACTCCTTCGTTGCCCGGGCGGTATGTTTGGGATCATTGTCATGTTGGAAGACCCAGCCACGTTTCATCTTCCATGCCCTTGCTGATGGAAGGAGGTTTGCACTCAAAATCTCACGATACATGGCCCCATTCATTCTGTCTTGTACATGGATCAGTTGTCCTGGTCCCTTTGCGGAGAAACAGCCCCAAAGCATGATGTTGCCACCCCCATGCTTCACAGTGGGTATGGTGTTCTTTGGATGCAACTCAGCATTCTCTATCCTCCAAACACGACGAGTTGTGTTTCTACCAAACAGTTCTATTTTGGTTTCATCTGACCATATGACATTCTCCCAATCCTCTTCTGGATCATCCAAATGCTCTCTAGCAAACTTCAGATGGGCCTGGACATGTACTGGCTTAAGCAGGGGGACATGTCTGGCACTGCAGGATCTGAGTCCCTGGTGGCGTAGTGTGTTACTGAAGGTAGCCTTTGTTACGATGGTCCCAGCTCTCTGCAGGTCAGTCACTAGGTCCCCCCGTGTGGTCCTGGGATTTTTGCTCACCGTTCTTGTGATCATTTTGACCCCACGGGGTGAGATCTTGCGTGGAGCCCCAGATCGAGGAAGAATATCAGTGGTCTTGTATGTCTTCCATTTTCTAATTATTGCTCCCACAGTTGATTTGTTCACACCAAGCTGCTTGCCTATTGCAGATTCAGTCTTCCCAGCCTGGTGCAGGTCTACAATTTTGTTTCTGGTGTCCTTCGACAGCTCTTTGGTCTTCACTATAGTGGAGTTTGGAATGTGACTGTTTGAGGTTGTGGACAGGTGTCTTTTATACTGATAACAAGTTCAAACAGGTGCCATTGATACAGGTAATGAGTGCAGGACAGAGGAGCCTCTTAAGGAAGAAGGTACAGGTCTGTGAGAGCCATAAATCTTGCTTGTTTGTAGGTGACCAAATACCAATTTTCCACCATAATTTGCAAATAAATTCTTTCCAAATCAGCCAATGTGATTGTCTGGATTTTCTTTTCTCATTTTGTCTCTCATAGTTGAGGTCTACCTATGATGCCAATTACAGGCCTCTCTCATCTTTTTAAGTGGGAGAACATGCACAATTGGTGGCTGACTAAATACTTTTTTGCCCCACTGTATACTGGAATTTGAAAAGACCTTGCATGTCTCCTCTATGATCAATTAGATGATTGCAATGCAAACCGCATTGCAATACATATTGCCCCGGATATTCTAGCCGGGAAAGTAACAGCCATGACCCGGAAATTACATCATAGACGTCGCCTTCCAGGTCACATAAAGAACAGGAGGAGAGCAGATGCTTGATCGCTCTCCTCTCTACCCACCACTCACCAGCACCCACAATGGCTCACCCTGGGCCGGCAGATGGGCAAGCGGAGCCCGGATATATGACAGGAGCCACCTGACAGGCAGGAGTCTGCCTGTTCGTTTTATACATAATCACGGTGGCTGCAGCCACCAGATTGTGCATAAAACCCTCCGCTGTCAGGTCCGTACAGTGTATGGACTTGGCAGTGAAAGACTAAAATATTGCGACATTTTAATCTAAAGTCCACTGTTTTTTAAATAGCGATGACATAAGTAATTGCTAAAAAAATGTCAACTGCAGAAAACTTTTACAGTTTTTAGACTTTTAGAACATACTTATCAATAGTGCATAAAACCTTCACGCTGTGCTGGAGTTCAGGAAGATTCACAAGGAGCCTAATAGGAAAAAACATGAAGACATTCACATTTAAATAAAACAATAATACAATTATGCAATAATTTACTAAAAGAGTAGTTGATGCTTGGAACAAACTTCCAGCAGAGGTAGTGAGCCAGTCAACAGTAAATTGCTTCAAATATGCTTGGGACAAGCATACATCTATACTCAGAAAAGTAACCAAAAGTTTTTTTTTTTGGTTGTGTTTTTGTTTTGTTAGCTTTTATTTGTCTATGTTTCTGTAAAGTTACCGTGTGCCTGTAAAATACCTGAAAAAAACGTCAAAAATCACCAAGACTAGGTTTCGTTTACAGTCTGCAGGCTAAAAACACCCAAAACATTCAAAGTGCAGTTTTAGTACAATGATATTCCTTGCTTTTAATACTCCTGAATCAAAAAGGTACTCTAAAGAAAATAATAATAAAGAATAAAAATAGGCACCTAAGCTCCATGCAATACTTTAGCAGCACACCGAGGAGTGTACTGTCCAGATCCCAAACAAGATGAATTTTAAAGGCTTTACAGAGTTGTTCAGGTAACATCACATGTGAATAGGAGTAATTGATTAGCAATTGAATTTTCCTACCTATGTGGACATCTTCAAAACAAACTGTGGGACTCAAGAAAAGTTTCTGAAAGTTGTCATTGGCAATAAAAGTTAGTGGGCTTTGATGGGGAGCAGTTACACGAAATCAAAAACATGGAACCTGATGGGGCCTTCTATCGAAACCCAGCTGTAGTTTACATTTTGTAGCCAGTAAAGGGGCCCCTTCAATATTGCCCAATATCTGCATTTTTCTCTAATCCCCTCTCACACAGGGCGGATTCTGTTCTGATCAGTAAGAGATCTGCGAGCCGATCCCTTGCTGATTGGAGCAGAGCGGGATGTTCACTCAGTTTCTGCAAAGCGGACACGGAGAGATTTCATTATGCTCTATGGTAGCCGGGAGTAAATGGACTCCACTGTCTGTTTACATCAAGCCATCTCCAATCCGATCCACCACAACAAAAGAGGACGCAATTCTCAATTTTTTTTTTTTTTAGTGGACCCGACTGGATCCAGAGGTAGGTGGGTGTAAATGGATACCGTCCATTTACACACACCTGTCCAATGAGAATCAAGGAACTTCTGATCAGGCCTACCTGAAAAACTGACAGGCGGACATGACTGGATGCCCAGGTGAAAGGGGCCTTCGAGTAGCAGTCTGGTTTTCTTCAAGACAGTCTACTACAGGTATAGAGTGCATGTTAGTTTCATGATTACCAGCGTGGTATATGTGGTCACAGTTGAACCCAAGCGGTTTCATTGGGCAAAATGTGGTGAAAAGAAGTGCCTTTCCTTAAAAAGGAAGCTAACAGCATAGCTGTAATGCTGATCCACTGGCTTTTATTCTAGGTTCAGAGGAGTATTAATCAAAAACATCCAGAAAAATAGCATTTACAGAAGGAGATTAGCAATGGCAGCCCATGTATTTCTCTTTCTTTTTATTGCCAGGAGGCACAAGGAGAGGCTGCACTATGCCCAGGTTTACCAAACTCCTAAAATGAGACTCACATGCCACATCCAGGTAAAACCACAATTATTTGGTTTTATCTGATGTTACTTCTAAAAAGGCAAAATGTTATTCATGAGTTTCTAAAGGATTGGCAGTCATTCAATGTACTGTTCTAGGGCACATCACACATGGGCATCAAAAAGGCCCAGCAATTGCTGAGAGCAGGACCAAAAGGATGTATTGAAATTTATAAGAACCCAGCAAAGCTCAAAAATCTTTGGAGGCACTGATCATACAGTTTATATTGACCTTATAGGTAGACTACCAAAGAGTCTCTGTATTCAAGTAGGTTTTTATGAACATTTTTAGCTACTCGGAAAACAGGACTATATGGAATAAGGCGAAGTACCCTGCACATCCCATTCCAATGAACATAACTTGGACTCACCTGGCTGTGATCGAGAACTGTGTGCAGGTCTTCAACACCAATGCTCGCTTGCAAGGGTACGTCATAATTGGCTGTTTATCCACCACAAAAGATCTGACAGGAAGAATGCAGAGACACTGTAATTGTCATTCTATCCAGGCACAACAAGAGCAAAGCATCACTAGTGAGATATAAAACTGGCCAGACACTAATCATAATCTGTCCAGTTCAGAGGGTACTAGAAACAAAATCAGCCGAAAAAATGCCGATAGGAAAAATTTAGCCGATACAGGAGACTGTGTACTGCAGATCTGACGGGGGGGGGGGGGCTGAGAAAGGCAAGAGAGGAGCAGTGTATACAGTGACTCGCTGTCAGTATATGTCAGTGCTGGCTTTTAAATGTAATTAACAGCTTTTTTTTCCTTCACTATAGCTCACAGAATTAGCTGTCACTTTCCCCCCCAGGTAAAAGAAACAAAAAAAGTTTCCTTTTAGATTCTGTCCCCCAGTTAAAAGAAACAAAGTTTCCTTTTAGTTTCTTTCCTGAGATAAAAGAAACAAAAAAGTTTCCTTTAGCTCCAGGGAAAGTGAAAGCTAATTCTGTGAGTTATAGTGAAGAAAAAAAAAGCCGGCAATTGCATTTAAAAATCGGGACCGACATAGTGACAGCCAGTGAGGGAGCCACTCTGTATACACTGCTCCTCTCCTGCCTCCTCCTTGCACACACACACTTCCCCCCCACCCCGTCCCCCCTACAAAGAGGACCGGTCACTGATATGCTATCACATAGGGGACTATTGGTCCTCTATGTGATAGCAATAAGATCATAAGTTAAAAAAAAAAATACATGAAAGTAGGAAAAAAAAAAAAAAAAATTGGAGCCTCCCCACCCCCACATACGCAGACATTTCAGTTTCGGCTCGGTTTTCGGCCACATGCATTCTGCATTTTCGATTTCGGCACCACAATTTTTATTTCGGTGCACCACTAGAGGGTACTGGACAAATTCTGTCCCTGCTCATCAGATGTCAATTGTTTGATCAACATCTGTTAAAATGGACATGCTGGGAAATGGTTCTTAGTCAGCACCTAGGGCTGCAACTGCTAAATCAGTGGATTCTGAGAGTGGTGGATTCTGCTACTTTTTGTGGAAGTGGGGGGCAGGGGGAATTCCTCAATGAATGGAAAAATCTGGTTGGAAAAAAAAAAAAAAAAAAAAAAAGTGTATGGCTAGCTTGAAGCTCTGCTCATTTTTACCTGCTCCATAAATGATGTCACCTTACACACTGGACCAATTACAAAATCGCATACATTAATATTAGTTATGATGATTCTCATACACTGCAGGGTTACAAAGCAGACCGTAGTGTGTAGCAGATTACACAACTACAGTATACAGTGACATACTGTAAATGTGACATGGATTTCCAAAATGAGGTGATTTATAGCAAAGAAAAAAGGACAGTATTGTTTATAATGGGGAAAAGCCAAAAGGTCATACAGACAGAGGTTTGCTTGAGCCTCCAGAAATTGCCATCTCTTTAAAGTGTATTTCCACTCATGTAGCCAGATTGGGATAACGCCTACGTTGTACTTCATATTTTTCCATTCACATAGCATAAGATTGAAAAGAACCTGCTTAGCATTCTTTTCTCCTGCCTGTCTTAAAGGGTTAAAGATCTAGAAGGTGCACTTTTTACATCGTATGCTACAATGTATGTACTCATATTCCCCCATGAGCCATTTGTAATAGAAGAAGACCAACTTGGTAACAAAGGAAAGCAAAAGTAGGATCAAAAACCATAACCTTCTACACATGGGGGTTGTCAACCCATCAATCTCAATCTACCTTGTCAATTGTAAGCAGGTGGTGGGTAGAATTCATGTCTAGGAAGCTGTCAAAGCCAACAGTCAATCTTAGGCAGCGTAGGCATTCCTTGTTCTGCAGCACACCATTTTCATTTGTACAGATGTGAGCCAGAAAATGCCTCCATCACTTAGAGCAGTGGTCTCCAAACTGCAGCCCATGGACCGAATACAGCCCTTTGCTTGCCTTTATCCAGCCCTCAAGGTACTATTCCTCCCACTGGCATCAACAAGGAGGCACCATTTCGAACACTGGCACCAACAATGGGGCATTTTTCCTCTCACTGAAACCAACGATGGGGCAATTTTCCTCACACTGAAACCAACGATGGGGCAATTTTCCTCACACTGAAACCAACGATGGGGCATTTTTCCTTACACTGAAACCAACGATGGGGCATTTTTCCTTACACTGAAACCAACGATGGGGCATTTTTCCTTACACTGAAACCAACGATGGGGCATTTTTCCTTACACTGAAACCAACGATGGGGCATTTTTCCTTACACTGAAACCAACGATGGGGCATTTTTCCTTACACTGAAACAAACGATGGGGCATTTTTCCTTACACTGAAACAAACGATGGGGCATTTTTCCTTACACTGAAACAAACGATGGGGCATTTTTCCTTACACTGAAACAAACGATGGGGCATTTTTCCTTACACTGAAACAAACGATGGGGCATTTTTCCTTACACTGAAACAAACGATGGGGCATTTTTCCTTACACTGACACAAATGATGGGGCACAATTCCTCCCACTAACAAACAATTAGGCACTGTTCATCCCACTGTCACCAATGACGGGGCACTGTTCATCCCACTGTCACCAATGACGGGGCACTGTTCATCCCACTGTCACCAATGACGGGGCACTGTTCATCCCACTGTCACCAATGACGGGGCACTGTTCATCCCACTGTCACCAATGACGGGGCACTGTTCATCCCACTGTCACCAATGACGGGGCACTGTTCATCCCACTGTCACCAATGACGGGGCACTGTTCATCCCACTGTCACCAATGACGGGGCACTGTTCATCCCACTGTCACCAATGACGGGGCACTGTTCATCCCACTGTCACCAATGACGGGGCACTGTTCATCCCACTGTCACCAATGACGGGGCACTGTTCATCCCACTGTCACCAATGACGGGGCACTGTTCATCCCACTGTCACCAATGACGGGGCACTGTTCATCCCACTGTCACCAATGACGGGGCACTGTTCATCCCACTGTCACCAATGACGGGGCACTGTTCATCCCACTGTCACCAATGACGGGGCACTGTTCATCCCACTGTCACCAATGACGGGGCACTGTTCATCCCCACTGTCACCAATGACGGGGCACTGTTCATCCCACTGTCACCAATGATGGGGCACCATTGCTCCCACTGCCACCAATGATGGGGCACTATTCATTCCACTGTCACCAATGATGGGGCACTATTCCTCCCACTGTCACCAATGATGGGGCACTATTCCTCCCACTGTCACCAATGATGGGGCACTATTCCTCCCACTGTCACCAATGATGGGGCACTATTCCTCCCACTGTCACCAATGATGGGGCACAATTTCCTCCCACTAACACCAATGATGGGACACTATTTCCTCTAATTGATACCAATGATGGGACACTATTCCTCCCACTGACACCAATGATGAGGCACTATTCCTCCAACTGACACCAGCGATGGAGCACTATTCCTCCCACTGACACCAGTGATGGAGCACTATTCCTCCCACTGACACCAGTGATGGAGCACTATTCCTTCCACCGACACCAGTGATAGAGCATTATTCATTCCACCAATACCAGTGATGGGGTACTATTCCTCCCACTAATACCAGTGATGGGGTACTATTCCTCCAACTAATACCAATGATTGGACACTATTAGTCCTTCCATTGACTACAAGCACTATGTCATTTTTTTTTTACTCCCACTTTTGCTGGGACATTTTTCTACTCCCACTGGCAACTCTGGCCCCCCTAAAGCCTGAAAGACACAAAACTAGCCCTTTGTTTAGAAGAATGGAGACCCCTGACCTAGAGGACCCGGTCATCTGCTGTGGTAACCTCCAGTCCTCTGTCCCGCTGACCTCTGTAAACTGCAGTACATCCACTAAAAAGCCTAATATGTATAAAATGTCAAATAAAATAATTAATACATCCAGATTATAAAATCGCAATTTTGCTAATTAATGGTATTGGAGGTATATTGACCACTAGACTAGATGGCCTTTTAGCTGCTGATAGGATGTATTGTGTATACTGTAATCAATCTGGAATATCCATCTCACATACCAAATTCATTATTTATCCGATTTGGCACCAGCACATTTGTTTTAGTTTTTTTTTTTCAATCTGAACAAATGTAGGTCCAACTCTGTCATTTTTCTGAGTCTTTTTCCCCGCAATTGGGGTTATGTTTGGGAATGCAGCTTCAGAGTGAGGCTTGGTTTTGGTTTTCAACATGGATGTGAAAGAGAGACTTGGTTGCGACTGGGTTATTTCCTACTCGCGCAGCTTCTTTTATTTCCAGTTGTGGTCTCATTTCCGGTATTTGGAATCAAGATGGAGGCCGTTTATTCCAAATTGAGGCTTTGTTGTAACTTATTTAAAGCGTGATGGTGGAGGGTGGTCACTTAGCCCCGGAGGACGTCTGGTTATAACGAAACACGTTGGGCGAAGCCTCCCTTCTGACGTCATTGCGTAAGGATCGCCATTTTATAGCTTGTTTCTGCTCATTGATGCTTTTTAATCTATTATGCTTGTAAGTGTATTTTTGTTTATCTAATAAATTAGCCTTAACTTACTGCACTATGAGAGGCACCTCTATTTTCATATGAGTACATGTCAACCCCATAAAATCGGGACAGCTTGAGGAGCCTCGGGTGGTGCACATGATCTGATCTAAGACAAATGAGCCTGGACAGGATTATATATATTGGGCGTGTATTGACCCTCTATAATTAAGGGGTCAAAGGATCTGGTAAACCTCCAATTTGATATTACAATGGTGCAAATTCACGTTGGTGGTTATATTGGAATGAAGATTTTCCATTATTCATCACAGAACAAGAGGACTTTTCTACACATTTTATAAGGACTGTTTTATGTTTATTTATTTAATTTATTTTGTGGCAATAATTCACTAGAGCACTTTCTTGTTTATCCTTTATTGGATACACATTATTTATGAATTTTCTTGAGGTACTCATATTTCATTTGGAGAGCAACACGAGTTTGATTTGTAATTTAGAGGCGATATCCTCTTGGTGGGTTTGCTGCTTTGTACATGATTAGGGTGGGGTATTTGTGCAGTTTAATTATTTAATATCATAAAATGTCAATGCTCACTGTGGCGGCCCAACATTCAAAAAACAAACAAGGATGAGCATACCCATGCACCAAATAAGCCTACGGGTTAAAACCTTTAATCTTTTATTAGAGTTACTTAAGCATTATCCAACAGAAACTGTGTGTGTTTATATATATATTAAAAGTGGAGACTGGGGCTCTAACACACTCTTACAATAAAGACTCATCACTGACTGCAGCTGTCTATTAGAAAGTTACTCACAAAGCTGTACATCAGTGTTGCAGAGGCATAAACACAAACAGTTGAGACTAACGCTCTTTGGATAAACCCTTTAATCACTGACTATGGTTCATATGTACCAATCAGTTTCCTCGAACACCAGATTAGAGCTCACTTACAGAGAGGCATATGGTGTCTCCAGTCCTCCACTGGTAAGTGAAGGCTGGGGTTCTAACACACCTTTTAATTAAAGTCTTTCATCACTGACTGTGCCTCATATGTTCTGGTGAGTGTATTTATCTCTTGCACCCACAAGTATTCACACATGCCATATAACATAGTGAGAATAAATATACTTACATCTGTAGCAAACTGCACAACATTTCATGTAGCCTACACTGCAAGGTTTGCGGCTCAGTCTTCAGAAGGTCGCTATCATAAGTTAGCAGGTCTGCAAGCTCACTTAGAATATGTAGAAGACGCCTCAGATGGAAAAATACTTCGACTGTCTTTGTGATCCTGGGTTAAGAGAAGTAAAATGGAACAAGAAATAGATATGTCTTACTTTTTTTTTAACTTGGTTCACACTATTCGGTATGGTAAAAACGCAGAGTTTTACCTTGTTGGAAGCTGCCAGTGTCATATCCAGCAGAAAGTGGTCTGATGCATGTTTGAACACATCACACTTTTTTTCTTTTAACTTTATTTGAAAAGTCACATAGTGACACTCCATTCATGTCTGTACATAGCAGTGTGGTGTGTTGTACCGACATTCAGTGCCATTCACTAAGCTGCAAAAAAAAAAAAATGCATATGTGCTGCATTTTTCCCCACACTACATCATGCCTGGATTGTGGTGTGAATGGGGCACACAGAAAACAATTGTTTGTGTGTGACATTACCATGACTGGCTTTTATCTAGTGTGAAAAAATGCCAGTCATAATGTAAATGAGCCCTCTCATAATAAAGCTACCTAGTGAACATTCTAATGCTGCAGTTCAAATTAGCAAAGAAAAAGAGACAAAGTGCAGTGAGCATAGATTATACGGACAAAATTAGTGGACCCTAACCATAATGCACACACTATATGTGGAAACCCCTCAAATGATTGAGTTCAGGTATTTCCAATGAAGGGTACTGTTATTGATACAGCATTCAAAAACATTTTGCACTTCCAGCTTTCTGGCAACAGTTTCAGTAAAGTCTTTATCCATTCCAGCATGTGCCCCTGTGTAGAAACCCAAGTCCACAGACACAGTTTAATAGATTTCATGTGGATGAACAAAAGCAGCCTTTGGGTCCTGACCTCAAATGTATATGTCTTCTCATCCAACATCAGCACCTAAGCTCACAAATGCTCTTTTGGTTGAATATGAAGTTAGCATGGCTGGAGGGACCTTGCTGGAGTGAGGAATACAGTACATATTACACCTTATTCATGCACCCCTAAATTAAATAAACATGCAAGGAGGCACATGGCAAGGGTACATTTTGCCTAATTCCTTGAGTTCAGCTTTATTCTTTTTTTTTTTTTCCACTAGGACAGAAGTTGAGTGTGAAACTCTCCAATGGGAAGACGGTCAGGAATATTAACCTGAAACATGCTGCACTCTACCCAAAACTAGACTGGGATTCCAATAAACTTTATGTACATCAAATTAGGTATAAAAAAACATCGTCATTGACACAACGTGTGCTTGATAGCTCCCTGCTTACCAGCCTTCCAGGTTTTTCAGGCAAGTATCTGTGCTTGCTCCAATGCTTTCTAACTTTTTCCTCTGAAGCCAGTCACCTAATTCTTTCTGTAGAAAACCATGAAGAGTCTCACAAAGCCCGAGAAGCTCCTTTATCTGGCTCAAGACCTCCTTTGGTGCAGAATAACAACAGGAGTTAAAATATATCCTGCCAAGTCAAACAACTGACAAAGATATTTCACATTATCATCATTATTAAATTTATAAAGTATATGAAAGGGTCTACATCTATATAATCTTATATATGTAAAAACTTCCCATTTATCCAAATAAAAGTGTGCTAAATACCTTTGAAATAATTTTTTTCCTGCAGTCACATTATCAGGATACCTCCATATCAGAAAGTCAAGGCAATTACACGCTGAGTGACCTCACCTGTCACATGCTGCCTTAAGCCCTGGTTCATTCTGAATATGACTTTGAAATCATGCGATTTTACTTGAAGGCGCAGAATTTCAAAGTCACATGTTGGTGCAACTTGTAACACATCTTTGCGAGTTCATGCACAGATGTCAATGCAAGTTGCACTAGAAATGGGCAACCGTAGTGCAGGAACTACTTTTCAAATCAGTGCGACTGATTAGATTAGAACAGTTCCACTTCCGATCATAGGGGGCGAATTAACATGTGATTTGACACCGTCAAATCTTATAACAAGTTGCATTGGTGTGAACCAGGGCTTAAACTAGAACTAAAAGGCAAAACTTTTTTCCCCATTTTGGATAGAGTAAGGGAATGTTATGACCCATCAGTTTTTTTTTTTTTGCCACCGTTATCCCCTTGGCAAGATTTCCCTTCACTTCCTGTCCCACAGCCACAACAGGAAATTAAAGAAAATCCCTCCAAACAAGAGGAAATCCCTGGTTGTCACTGGAAGAAATGTCCCCACTGGAAGATTTCCGCTCTATTGTCGTTTTGGTGACAACCCAAAATTTGGATTTTCTTTCACTTTCATCTTCAGTGATAACAGCAAGCAGGACAAAGAGAAGATAAATCTCCCTAACTGCAGCACAAACCGCAATAAAAAGCAGACAGGTGGTCCGATCCCTCTCCACTATACGAAACAAACAAAAAAAAAAAAACCACAACACACAATATTTTGCCTTTAGTTCTACTTTAACAGCTGAGAATCAGGCAATCAGGCACCACTGTGTGTCAATGCTCTAACTGTACAGAGAGGCATGGTTTGCAAAACCTCTCTGTGATACCAATACTGCTGAGTTCTTTCAGCCCTGCCTGGAATGGTTTACAGAAGCTCCAATTTGCTGTCCACATTAGAAAAAGGAGCTCTTATTCAGAGAGTGGTCCACCTTTACCCAGCCTCTGACTAGAGAGTGACTGGTGAGGTCACCCAAGCAGATCATAGGCCCACATGTGAGGTCACAGCATGAGTTACAGTGAGGTCAATTCACATGCAATGTATCACATAATCGCATAAATGATTGCATGTGATAATTTGAGAGCCAATTCCTAAATAAAAAAAAAAAATTAAATGTAATATAAAATAAACAACAAAGCTTCATTCACCAAAACAAAAAAAAAAATATTTTTACTTATCTCATGGTACAGGCATTTGACATTTTAGGAATGTAGAAAATAACATGGAACTGGCCAGTAAGTGAAAAAGAACAATGCAGAAGTTTGAGAATGCAATGTTGTTAGCTCACTATAGTAAATAATATGTAACATTGTAGCAGACCAGCATTTCTCAACCTTTGTTGGGTTGCAGAACCGTTTAAATTATGTGCAATCTCCAGGCAACCAATTCTAAACTGTAAAAAAACTAAACTAATAACTTTACATAATGTAGCAGCAACAACACACATAAAACACTCAACATTAGAGGTGATTTACCCGGGTCACATGAATGCAACTTGTCAAGAGGCTTGTGAGTTGGATGGCTTCATTCTATTTGCTGTGACTCAAGCCGCAGCAACTCCAAAAAAGGGTTCCTGCGTTATCTTTATGCAACTTCATCGCGACTTGCATTGACATCTATTACTGAAGTTGCACGGAGTAGCGGCAAGTCGCAATGAAGATGCACAGCATAGTCTGACCTTAAAGTAGCATCTGGGGCAACTTTTAGGCATTTAGTCAAGGCACCCCTGAAAAAAAAAAACAGTAGGCATCCTGGCTTTAAAAAAAAAAAAAAAAAAAAAAAAAAAAAAAAAAAAAAAAACTTGCTCAGTGCCCTGATTGTCAGTGTACACAAAACGTACTGACAGCCTTTCCGGGAATCGGCTGTCCTTTCCTCACACAGACACAGCATGTGAGGAAAAGACTGCCAATAACCAGGAAGTCTCTTTACATGTGATCAACTGTTATTGGATACAGCTGATCACATGGTAAAGGGCCGCTGCGATTGGTCCTTTACCATAATCTGTGACCAGCTGTGTTACAGTGTGCTCCCAATGTGTGCACCAGGGGGTGGTGTTCTGGGAGGACATCCATGGACTAGAGGGCCATGCTGTAGCTGTCTTTCGGCTATAGCACAGTACTAAACTGGTTAAAAGAGATTAAAATATTTTAGGATTACACATGCTTTAAGCGCCATTAAGTCAATGTTGACTACTTGGCATTTCATACAGTATGTAAAACATATTTATTATGATGAAACACAAAGGAAATTTCACACATAAGAAAAGTAAATGCTCCCTGCAATCCAGAACAGAAATGAAGAAATTATCTATACAGCTGCTTAAGAGAGATGTCCTTGAAAAATAATTAACAATTAAAGCTGAAGAAGAGGTCCATTACCTTCAGACACTAGCAAAAAAGTGGGGGCTCACAGACTGGGGTGGGATTATAGGAGAGGTGCCCCAGGGGGGTGCATGCCAGAGTCAGATCACTTAAGGGTACAAATCTGTAACTCATGGTATATGAATAAGTTGCCTGTGTCCTGTATTGGATGATTAAGAGACATACTTTCACATCCTTTATAGAAGGGATTTGTATTAAATTATTATAGTAAAATTATATTACATATACACTACATAAAATGTATTAATTGTGGAGTTCTTTGTTATATTTAGTGCAAACATTTGCATACTAGTCCAAAACCTAAATATTACTCCTGAGAAAACAGTTAGATTTCAGATATTTTTGTAATAGATCTAACCTTGCGTTTTAGGTCCAGCTCATTCAGTTGAACTTGCAGCTCCTGCGTCTTTACCTTAATATATTCCGGTGGGAGTTTTGTACAACCTATAATAGAAGAAAGAGTAAATGTGTTTGTGTTAGATGAATCATTATTTGTCAGGCATTCTGGACACACCTGTTATCTCCCTATATGTCTTATCACATACAACAGTTTTAATAACTTCATGTGAATCTGTGCTTTGCCTATGGAGGGTGAGAATCACACTCACTTTTATTCCCTAGCAGCATATATTTACCTTTCATTCAGTCCCACTTTGTTCAACTGTCTGGAGCAAAGAAAAGCCCTGTTTAAGCTACTGCAGTCAAAGAATCCAAATGTGGCAGCACTGACTGGCCCAGACTTGTCACATGGGATGGGTTATTTACTAAAACTGCAGAGTGCACAATCTGGTGCCGCTCTCCATAGAAGCCAGCCAGTTTCCACGTCTTATTGCCAAAGCTTAATTAAACAAGCTGAAGATAGAAGCCGATTAGCTACCATGCACAGCTGCACCACATTCTGCACTCTCTAGTTTTAGTAAATCTACCCAATGGAGTCAATCGCATGCTCCTCCAGGGTGCCCGCGCATGCTCAGTGGGCACCCAGCTGTGAAGCCGCAAGGTGTCACAGCCGGGTGCCCACACTGAAGATACCGGCACCACGGAGAGAAGATGGCCGGTGAAACCAGCAGTGGTGAGGAAACCACTGGACCAAGGGACAGGTAAGTGGCTGTATTTTAAAAGTCAGCAGCTACAGTTTTTGTAGCTGCTGACTGACTTTTTTCAGGTGGAAGCCAGCTTTAAATTGGTTGTAAACCTCTGACATGAATTATGAACAAAGCATATCCCTGCATAGTGTGTGCTGGTCACAATACAGAGCAATAAGCGTAACTTCTGTCAGAGCTGAGCATTCCACTGCTAAATCTGCATGAATGCTTCTGACAAGATTTTCTGACAGCTGAAGATAAAAAATTGTGACAAGGGGAGGGCACAGCCTGTGACTGCCAGCCTCAGCTCTGTTCCCATGCTATCGTGAGTGGGGGGGAAGGTCCTTTGCCAATCCAATCACTCTCAGCGCTGTCCTCAGGTGAGTTAAATTCAGCTCCCCTCCCCCTGCTTTTCAGAGCTGAGAGATCTGATATAAATTCTGCATTTGAATGGATGTAGAGTCAGACAGCTGAAATAAACAGGTACAAGTTGTGACATCGCAGCGTCAGACCCCCATTTCTCACCAACTCGTGACCGAAGGACTAGCCAATCTAAAACGCAGGTGCGTAACAATACCCTTCAGCTGCACCCTGCACAAGATTTTCCAGCTAATGAACTACAATCTATGTACCTGCAGCCTGAGAGCGATTTTTACTGGGTCAGGGTAATTACGCAATTAACCCTTCACACTGCCACCACAGCCTTTTAGTGCAGAGAAGGAGCAAACTCGCCAGTATTAGCAATAACACTATGATGTTTGAATAATCACCGCAGACAGAGAGATATATAGAGGTTTAAACATACAGTAGCGCTCTTCAGAGACAAGGATTCTTAGTTTGCATTAAAGAGCTTTAGAAACAGTTCAACACTTTTCAGAAAATAAGATTTATTACTAAAAAGGTCAAAATGGGGCAATAAAAAGTATTTACAGAAAAAGATGTAAGATACACACACATATATATACACACATACACACACACACACACACATATATATATATACACACACATATACATAAATACATACACATACACACATACATACATACACACACACACAAATAAATAGAGAGCAATAACACAGCAAAGATAACAGAAAGAAGTTTAGTGAGGTAGAGTACTTGCCAAAAGTCCTGGGTTAAGCAGATCAAGTTTCAGAGCAAAAGGGTGCCTTATCAACCAAAGTTGGTTCCGATGTAAAAGGGAGAATTCTTCAACTTCAACTTACTGCTCCCAGCATAACAGCCTTTTTCTAGGAACTCAGCAGGGTGTCTTTTTAAAGCAGAGAACCAATCGCCTCATTTGGGGAGGGGTGTGTAGGCGGGGAAACTCAGGCTATGACCAAATCCATCACAAATTAGACTTAAACTAGGGGGTGTAAGATATCAGATGGCTCGCATTAAACTGAGCTATCCGAATATGTGCTTTATGTTTATGTAATTATTTCCTATTTCAAGATATGAAATCATAGGGAAAAGTGGGTTTTAAATGTGATGTCTGTTTTTACAGCTACCTGGAATGTCTTTGAAGCTCAGTGAAGGACTGGTTTATGGCTTTATGATATCTCAGATTGAGAGGCTAACAGACACCCGGGCACCAGCTAATTTGGGATTTATAATCATGAAGCTCTCGCTGAGCCTGATGCCTCTGATCTCTCCGCATCATACACACCACATTCCTGAGGGAGGGAGGAAAATTGGAGGGAGAGAGCATGATACAAGATGGAGGCCTTTAGCAATTGTACGTACAGAGATGGATGTGAACCTCCATTTTGCCAAACAAGTTGTGTAGGATGATTTGTTTCATCTTTGTACAGTGGGAAAAATTATTATTTGATCCCCTGCAGATTTTATAAGTTTGCCCACTTCCAAAGAAATGAAGGGTCTATCAGTTTTATCAATGGTGTATTTTAAATGATAGAGACAGAATATCAACCAAAAATCCAGAAAAAAACACATGATGCAAATGTTATAAATGGAGTTTATATTAATTCAGTGAGTAAAATAAGTATGGGGGGGGGGGGGGGTTAGCAGATTTAAGATTTAGTTTCAGAGTTCAAGAATTTTTTTTCCAGCAACATCACCTGAAACAGGTACCATCCATCCCTAGAACACTGTGACCTTTGTATAATTGGCAAAATGTATTTTCTTCCTTTAACACTTCTGATTGACTGAACAAGTAAAAAGCAATCTACTGAACAGCTAAAGATGGCCCACAGCGTATAATGAAACAAGCTGTTAAAGCCTCATTCTGGGCCTTTGTAAAATGTACCTATGTAGTTGGACCTGTTTAAGGGGCTAGGGGATAATGAATAATTGCAAATACTTAACTTATTCCTTGCTCTCCTGGCACCCAGGACTCTATTTGCTGTCCAAAGCTCATGGGATGAGGGTAAGCCCTCGCTGTCCTCATGTATAATGCATAACTGCTGGTTCTGTATTGAACCTAATGACATCTGGAATATACAACCAATCAAGCAGCAAAGAAGTGGTGCTTTGCAGGAGAGGTCATATGAGGAGCAGGTAATAAGCTAAATATTTTGCCATGGTGATCATCCTGTAGACAAAACGAGCATTTACCCATGTGATGCGGAGAGGGCCCAACTGCATAGCTAAATTTATTAGCAGCCCAGAGTGGTTCTTTAAAGTTAGAAACGAGGATTTGTAGCTGAATACACCAATGCTTTTCATTTTGCAGACAATCTTTGTCTTTTTATCACTAAAAATAAAATATACTCACATTCTCTCTGAAAATTTTTCCACCTGAAGTTAAAAATTTCTTGCTGCTCTTCTAGAAATTTTACTTCCTGATCTACAGACTGCAAATATCAAAGAATGCAAGTATTTAGACAACATTAGCAAAAATTCCTTCCTACAAAAAAAAAAAAAAAAAAGGGTATAGAACAGCAGAATTAAGGGGATTAAGCGGATCTCCTAATCTCATAAATATACTCCCTAATGCACCAAAAATAGTTTGTATAAAATTGATCTTGGTTGAAAAAAAATATCATTAGATCAAAGGTCATCAGCAATGCAGCTATAACTAAACCTCTTACCGACCACAGCAGGAAAAGTGGGCTTTAAAGCTCAGGTGGCACACATGTGCGTCCACAGTGGCCTGAGGTTCTGTGCTGGGAGTGCACTCCCAGTACACTGTCTGAGCTGTCTGACAGCACTTGGTCACATCTTTACGTGGTCACTGCGAGAGCCAATTGCTGCCACCCAGAGTTAAAGCCCACTTAAAGGGCTGCCAGGAGGCAGCATTAAAGGTTTAAAGAAGAAAGCCTATCTATCAAAATGACTACCTCAAAAGAACTGTGTGGATTAAGGTATAATAGATCAGTCATATGGAGAAGACTAACTCCAGTGAACCTACCAGCAATATTGGAGACACGTTCTTGGCCCTTTGCTTACATTTTTGTGTTCATGACCTATATAGCATAGATCCTCTTTAAATGTTGGGGTGTATTAGTGCCAAACTCAGTTTTTGGGTTAAGGAAACACTATAAAATGTCTGTTTTCAAGAGTGAAAAAAGAAATAATGGATACTGGGTACACTGGGTTTTCTCTTTTTCAAAAACTTAAACACAAATTTTAGAAACAAGTTGATATGAAAAATTAATCATGGGGCCAATTATTAACATTTTAAATGTTATTCAGAACTTCTGCATGGTAATGAAGTTTTAAAAAAAAAAAAAAAAAAAAAAAAAAAACCACACCTTTCCATTTCTATTGCACAACTTATTATAAACCCAGTGACATCCTCATTGGGTCTCTGTGCTTCTCTCTGCAACACAGGCAAATAAGGGAGGGGTTGACAGGGCACTGTACATGGCTTCCCGAAAACATCACAGCACCGTGCCTGAATACTCCACTTAAGGACCCTCTGCACTGATACAGGCAGTAGGCTAGCATTTGGGAGCAATTATCCAAATATTAAAATGCCTGTCTTGAGAAGAAAGAGTTCCTATTTGCATGCAGCCTGCCCTAGGTAATACCTACATTTGATGATGAACCTCCATGATTGAAAGAACTAAAATTAAATGAAAAGGGGCAAGCCAGGGACAGTAAGTATGGGAAAATAAGATACTAATGATGAAGCTGGATGGCTTCCATTCAATAATAAGGCAGGAGCTATCTAACTTGCAGCAGCTGGCTGCACACTGAAAGAAGGTCAGGAGAGTACCCTGTACAACTGGGCAAGACTAAGGTTCAACTCCTGATCATGGTGCCATGAATAATAGTGTGCAAGGAGTTTAAATTTCCTCTCTTTCAAATTCAATAAATGCCAGAGGACATATTGTAATGGCACATTAACAGTAAAATGCCTGTAAAATAGTGTTCTAAAGGAGGATTGAACAAAATGGTGATCAGTAGAATGCAAGTGGGAAAAGAGCAGAGGCTAAACATGACCAAAATTGTGACAACTTATGACCTCGACAGTGCAGTCTGTAGTGTGCAGTCCATTGTTCAACACTCAAACTGCAGAGATATTTCCAGGCTACACACGAGGCTATATACTTATAATTTGTGAGCAATACATATTAACAACTGAACCCTAAAGAATGAAGGGTACTCACCTGGATTAGTTCTTTTACTTTATTAACTCGCTGATCAATTTCATACTGCTGTCCTGTCTTCATTGGTACTTGCACCTCTTGCCCTTTTGGAGTCTGTAATGAGATCCACAAAGACCATAAGTTTCAAAGTGCTGCTCTGACATCTATTTTACCTATAGACTCTACTATAATTTTTTACTTTGCAATATGGCTTATGTACATTCACTTTCAGAAACAGATGGGCACACACAGCAAAAATTAAATGCATTCACTACTGCATATTTGGTAAGCTGTAAAGAAATTCTCCCATAAAAGATCTTCATTGCTTAATCAAAAACACAACAGTGCCGTGAATGTGAAGGTGAAAGTCAAAGGCTGCCTCCAGGTAAGCCTGCTCCTACTTTATCCTCTAGTTAGGAAGTCAATTTTGGGTTGGGGACCATAATTTGCAGCTGTGCCTTGACATGGCAATGTGGCTTTACATAAATTTACAAAATGTATGGAAAAAAGATTTTTTTTACTTACCTGTAACATCCTTTACTTTGTGTACAGTATAGGACACAGGCATAGCCTTAGATGACGAGGTTATATGCAACTGGCAAACAAAGTTGTAAGGACCACCATATAACCCCTCCCAGTGCCAGCAATTCTTAGTTTTAGGAAGTAGTAATAAGAGGATATACAGAGGGAAGGGTCCTGTGTCTTTTACTGTACTCCAAGAAATTGATTTTAAATGTAAGTCAAAGTCCTGTTTCCTTTCTCATACAGTACAGGATACAAGTAGTCTTAGATGAATGGGACATCCAAATGCAATACAACTGAAGGTGGGAAAAACACAGCAACAAGTGCCAACAAGCCCATAGAAGGAAAAAAAAAAATAATAGGAGAAACCTCTAACCTCAAAGAGCGACTTGTAGCATGAAAGGCCAAGATGGCACCAAGGAGACCTGAGCACCAAGAGGTAAACTTAACAAATGTGCAAATAGAAGACCATGGGGGAAACACTGCACTCTGAGAAACGGATCCCTGATGCCCCTGAAGCACTTATAGACTTGCAAAAGTGTGTCTTAACAGGAAAAAGGAGGAACACCATCTTATAGACCACAGATTTGAAGGGTGAAGGGTCTAATCCACCTAGCAAAGGTGGAGTGAGAGGCAGGGAGTCCCTTGCAGGATCCCTGGGGAAGGATGGAAGAAAGTCTGATCACTTAAAAGAAAACTGTAGTTAAGAGGAGACCCTCACGTAACATACTGCATTAAAACAATGGATAAGGACCTTCTTGCGATGTTTCAGACAAGGACATAAAGAAGAAAGAACAATGTCATGGGAAAGGTGGAGAGCAGTAATCAACTTTGGGACAAAAACAGGAAAATCTTATTCATAAGCAACACCTAGAAAGGCTCCAAGCTGGACAAGGCCACCAGCTCAGACACTTGCCCTGCAGACGTGAAAACACAGAGAAAGAGACTTTTCAAGTAAAGACAGGCAAGGAAGTATTTCCCATAGACTCAAAATGGCACAGAGCTCCAGATTAAGGTTCCAGATAATTACCAGATAGCACACAGATGGAGTAATGTGGACAACACCTGCAAAAAACCCCCCAAAAAACCTTTAACCAAGGCCAAAATGTGTCCCTTGATGGTAATCAAAGCCAGGTGGTGGACCAGACTGTAGAAGGACAGGATGCATCTCATGGGGTAATCTGAAAGGCCATGTCCCTGGGCCTCAAGTGCCTTGCTGATAAAGCCAGCGACTGCAAAGGAGCATGGCAGAGCAGCCTTCGAGACAGGAGGTTTGGGCTATTCTGAAGGGCCCCTGCACAGTCCATCAGAAGCTTGAGTATATCCAAATGTTGTGTGGTACTGGGACAGTGTTTTGCATAGAAGACCACTGAAACTCCCTCCAATCCCACAGTGCTGACCAGGAAGGAACTGTAGAGAAGGAAACAAAGATCAAAGGGAGCGAAAGCCACAAAGTCCACTGCAAAGGCCTGAGGGTCCTTAGACCTGGCAACATATCCAGTTTAAAACTGAACCTGGACTCCAGAAGCTCTACCTCTGGTGTCCCACACTAGTGGCAAGGCACTTGGGACACTTTGGAGTGCAGGGGCCATTCCCCTGGGTCCAGTCACTGATGACTTAGGAAGCTCATCTGATAATTATTCATGCCAGGGATGGGGCGATGAGTAGGTCCGGAACATGCAGTTCTCTCGAAGTCACAATCAGGACCTTTGCTCCTTAAGAAACTGAACCGCTGTTGCTTCCCTGATGGTTGAAACGTTGTGGCATTACAAAAAAAAAAGGGTTCTGTTCAAAAGACCCAAGGCTTTACCAAACATCCAACAGGGCTGGGTACTCTAAGCTAGGAGCCGGGTCCAGCAAATTTTTTTTTTTCTGTTGAAGTGAGGATCTATTTGAAGCACTGCAGAGTCTGCACTGTTCATTGGACAGGGGTTGGAATGGATTGGCCCTTCAAAAAAATAAAGAAAGAAAAAAGGTCAAAATAGCGCACAATGTTGACACTCCAAGAGTGAAGCAGAGCTAACTTTGCGAGCACAATGGTGAAAACTTGTGGTGAGTGGAAGGGCAGAGGGAAAAGTAATAGATCACATTGCATGTCCACAGTAGAAAGCATATATCATTTATGAAGTGGCAAATGAAGGGATGTGTAGGTTGATGTGCATAGGGGCTTCCATAAGTCTTCCTTGAAGGTTTCTAGGATCTGCTTTTAACACTTGAGTTCCAGCATTCAATGGATGCCCCTGTAGAATTCACGGAGGCCTAGGCCAGATGACACAAAGAATCCTGGACCTAGGTGTATTGTCCTGAGACCTTACCATGTACCCAAATGATAAAAGGTACAGTTCCACGGTATCCTCAGCAGAACAAAAGTTGTATGAAAGAAACGGAGGTGAACTCTAGATTAGGAGGTGAGGCAGATCAAAACTCATGACTGGAGTTTGCCATGCTGGCAAGACTCCACATCAGCATTGAAACATCAGGAGCTGAAAACAAAACTCCAGAGACATTACCCTTGTGTCATGGTGTTCCCTCCTAGATTGTAAGCTCAAAAGAGCAGGGCCCTTAATCCCCTCATGTTTTGCATTGTATTGGTATTGTTCTGTCACATGTTCTGTCCCCCTTTGTAATGTACAGCGCTGAGCAAACTATTGGCGCTTTATAAATACTGTATAATAATAATACTATACTAACAACATGTCTATATTTCTATGAGTGCCGCAGCAACAGACAACAATGGTCCATGCTGAGGCATGCAAGGGCATAAGAGTGGTGCAATACGAACCGGGGTACTCACTACTCCTCTGCAGGTCAGAGGGCCAATAGCCATCTGTGATAAAAGACCATGGGTCAGGATTCACTGTGGAGCAGAAAAGATTCCCTAGGTAACAAGTACATGGAGTACTCTGTCCCATATTCCATTGTGTTGTCTAAAGTTAGTTGTGAGGACATCCCTACTCCCTCCATGGCCTTCCATCAACACAGCTAGCAAGAAGATAGCTTTTATGACAGATGGCACTTTTCTTGATGGCTCCACGCCTTTTTCAGGTGAAATTACAAATCTTTAAATTTGACTAATGGCCTGACTTGGCCAAGATTGAAATCAGCATGCAGTTTTATTCAAATCATCAACATACAGCAAAGTGGGCATTAAACAGCACTATTACACCTACAAATACTTAAATCTGAGCATGGTAGAGTAAAACATGCTAATGATTTGAATAAAACCACATGTCTACTGCAATTTTGGCAGAGTGAGACCTTCATTTACATTACAAAGATGTATTATCCTAAAATGCCTTGTAGAGGAACCAAACTCTCTCAATGAACATTAACTATTTTTTTCTTCATGCTGCTAGCTTTAGTAAATAGATGGGAAGGTAAATTATATTTACAGTGGTTATAGAAAAGAATCACCCCCCTTTAATATAATTACATTTCGTTGCTTTGCAGCTTGAAATGAAGACACAGTTTTTGTTTTATCCAGATGTATTTACTCAGTGCAGCTTATAACAACCAAGTATAGGAATTAATACCAACATGTCAGAAAGGAAAAAAAAAAAATCAAAAACAGAATCACAGAGATGGAAAAAGATCACCACCTTGTGTCAGTATTTTGTTGAACCACCTTTTGCTTTAATTACAGCCCTTAGTCTATTGGAATAGGTCTCCACTAACTTTGCACATTTAGACTTTGCAATATTTGCCAATTCTTCTTTGCAGAACCGCTAAAGTTCAGTTAAATTTCATGGTGACCATTTGTGGACTGCAGTCTTCAAGTCATTTCACAGATTTTCAATGGGGATTTAAGTCCGGTCTCTGACTAGTCCATGCAAGGACATTCACCTTTTTCTACTTCAAGCACTGTGTGGTAATTTTTGCTGTGTGCTTTGGGTCATTGTCATGTTGGAAGGTAAATCTTCTTCCTATTGACAACTTTCTGGCAGAGGGCAGCAGATTTTCCCAAAATATTTGACAGTATTTTGCCCCATCCATTTTACCTTCCATCCTGACAAGTGCTCCAGTCCCTGCTGCAGATAAACCCCCATAACAGAATATTACCACCTCCATGCTTTACTGTAAGAATGGTGTTATTTGGATGGTGAGCTGTAGTCTCATCTACCTTCAGTGCAATTCACTTCCAGAGACCTCATTAAGAATTCTATGGTCATAGGGAGTAAGCATAGTCTATCTAAAAGTCAACCAGGGGAATTAAAGTATGCAACGTGGTACGTATTCCTCAAGGTCATGGAAAGCATAAAGTGTCCACAAATGAATAGTAGGGGACTACAAAAATGGAGTAAATTAGAGCCATAAGAGGGGGTCTCCTGAAAGCGTCTCCAGGAGGACCATACCTGGGTAAATGTATATATTCCGTCCTTCTGCCGTATGGATCAACTCCGACCTTCTCTGCAATGTGATCAATATCAGAAAAAAAACTGTATCTGGCGCTCATATAAAGTTTAGTTCTGCTTTAAGGTCAAGCCACTCTCTAGTAGCTATTCTCCCTAATTATCTGCCAGCTATACATTAGGGACAAACCGCTGTGGCAGATTAGGCATTTTGGTTAAGGTATTGTACCACTATAGACCCCCCCCCAAAAAAAAGCATCAATTTTATGTGGTTTTGACCTGTAGAAAACAGTCATTTAGTGGCTTTTTGTATAAAATCAGATTAGCAAAACAAAACATATACTGTATATAAACACAGCAATACAACTTCTAACTGGAACTGGCAGAAAGCGATCTCTAATTTTAGAGGTTTCTGTCTGTATGACAGCGTCTTCCTCCAAAAACTAGCGATAGTCCGATAATTTGATCATTAGTACACAGCTGTTGAGAGCTGATCGCGACAGTTCATGCAACAATATCCGAAGGGACAAAACACGCAAATTTTTTCTCGTACGATACCAGAAAAACAATTTTTGTTTTTATCAGTACAGTATTCATCCAAAAAGAAAAAAAAAAATAAAATCGAGTGATCAAGAATGCGCATGCTCGGAAACTAAAGAATACATTAAAATACATCATGTCACTTCCGAAGTTGTATTCTTTCATACAAGAATTTTCTTAACTTTAGTAAGCTCTTAAATTTTCAATATGAGACTAGCATGCAAAAAAAAAAAAAAAAAAAAAAAAAAAAAAAGACGATAATTCGTCCGATATTCTCATTTTGTGTTTGCAGAGTGAAAAGACAGGACATTTATCATGACAGCACTACAGATCATATCTTTAAAATAACTATTCCACCTTTCTGGTTAAGAAGAAAAAAATAAACACACACATGATTTTCAGTGATCCTGGGTTTGTCTACAATATTAAAATGAACAAACCTCCATTTCTTGGGCTTCTAAGAGAATTTGTTTCTCCAGCTGCAGAATATTACGGATCTGTTCAGCAAGTTGCTGTGGATTTTCCTGGTATAGGTGCTGCAATTAAATGGGGAAAAAAAAAAAGTTGAATATTTAGACTCCTGGATTTAAAGTGCATCTAAAGCCATTTTATAGTGGGTAGATTTACTCTTTATTTGTCCTGGTGATCATTATCAAATGAGGCATCAAATTCAACATTTTGAGCAGTCAACAGAACATTAATAGAGAAACAATCTTCCAATGTCAGAGGGATGTCCCTAACTTGGAGTGGGGTGAACTTCCCCAGAATTTTTACTACCGTATTTGCCGGCGTATAAGACGACTGGGCGTATAAGACGACCCCCCCTACTTTTCCTGCTAAAATGTAGTGTTTGGGCTATACTCGCCGAATAAGACTACCCCTCTTCCAATGCACACCAGTGGGAGGAATAGTGCCCCATCACTGATGTCAGTGGGAGGAATAGTGCCCCATCATTGGTGTCAGTGGGAGGAATAGTGCCCCATCATTGGTATCAGTTGAAGGAATAGTGCCCCATCATTGGTATCAGTGGGAGGAATAGTGCCCCATCATTGGTATCAGTGGGAGGAATAGTGCCCCATCATTGGTATCAGTGGGAGGAATAGTGCCCCATCATTGGTATCAGTGGGAGGAATAGTGCCCCATCATTGGTATCAGTGGGAGGAATAGTGCCCCATCATTGATGTCAGTGGGAGGAAGAGTGCCCCATCATTGGTATTAGTGGCAGGAATAGTGCCCCATCATTGGCATAGTAGTGGCAGGAATAGTGCCCTCATTAGTATCAGTGGAGGAATAGTGCTCCATCATTGGTGTCAGTGGGAGGAAATAGTGCCCCATCATTGGTGTCAGTGGGAGGAATAGTGCCCCATCATTGGTGTCAGTGGGAGGAATAGTGCCCCATCATTGGTGTCAGTGGCAGGAATAGTGCCCCATCATTGGTATCAGTGGCAGGAATGGTGCCCCATCATTGGTATCAGTGGCAGGAATAGTGCCCCATCATTGGTATCAGTGGCAGGAATAGTGCCCCATCATTGGTGTCAGTGGGAGGAATAGTGCCCCATCATTGATGTCAGTGGGAGGAATGGTGTCCCATCATTGGTGTCAGTGAGGGGTGGAATAGTGCCCCATCATTGGTGTCAGTGGGGGGTGGAATAGTGCCCCATCGTTGGTGTCAGTGGGGGGGGGGAATAGTGCCCCATCGTTGGTGTCAGTGGGAGGAATAGTGCCCCATCGTTGGTATCAGTGGGAGGAATAGTGCCCCATCATTGGTATCAGTGACACCAATGATGGGGCACTATTCCTCCCACTGAGACTTGCTGACCCTGTTCTCGTATGGTGCTGCTGCAGCCAGCATATGTGGTTGCAGCAGCACCTCTACACAGCACACTTACCTGCTGCTCCGGCACTCAATTTTCGCGGGGCCGCTCGGCTCCGCCCCCTCGCCGGTGATTGGCCGCCTGTGTGCCTTTCCTGAGCTACAGTTCTGGCGGCCAATCACCGGTGAGGAGGCGGAGCCGAGCAGCCGCACGAACATCCAGTGGCCGAACTGAAGGAGACGCCGCGCTTCCTGGACCGGATCATCGTGGGACTGGATCCAGGTAAGAGACATCAGCCCCTGCAAACCCCTGTACTTAATGCCACAGCCCCCCTAACATGTGTACCGGCGTATAAGACGACCCCCGACTTTTGAGAAGATTTTCAAGGGTCAAAAAGTCGTCTTATACGCCGGCAAATACGGTATTTCTAATTTTGACTGCAATCAAACAATATGTTTCACAGCTCTTAAAGTGGTAGTAAACTCCACTATTTTGGGGCCCCCGGGTGGGTTATGCCATAATGTGCTAGTATGCATGACATATTAGTGCATTATGGCAGACTTACCCATCAAGCGGTTTCCTCCAGCGCTGCGGTGGGATCGATCCAGTGAGCACTGGATGGGCAGAGCAGAAAGCCAGTGGCCAACAGTCATCACTCTCTGCTCAGTGAGGACAGAAATCAAAGTGATCAGTCACCAGTAGTTCCCATTCTATGTTGTTATTGGGAGCCATAGGGAAAAGTTCTCGATCATGTGAGAACTTGTCTGAACTTACTTATCCTATGGATGGCTGGGCTGTGGAGGGGAAGGGAGCGGCTGGCTCAGGCTCTCAGCAGCACGCTGAGAGGCTGAGCCAGCTGCCAGTCCAGGCATCTGGGTGGATCCCGACTGTAAAGTAGGGACTTGATCCAGAGCATGGACCAGTTGATTGACATTATCCGACAGCAGTCTTTGGCCCCTATTGGCTGAAAATGGGTCTAAGAAGTGCAGAACGAAATGCATTCCTAGGATCCATAGGATAAGTAGGTTCAGAAGAGCTTTGGCTCTTTAAGGATTACAAGAGAAATGCTTTTATCCATTTTTGATGCAAATGCACCCAAAAGGAATGGTTGCAATGCACCTCAGAGCACAAAAATAATAGTGCAGGTTGTGCATGTGTGTTTCAGGGATGCCACACAAAATAAATAGCGCTGCAGCGCACCAAGACAATAAAAAGTTTACATTAGAAAGCTGCCAGGCTGCCAAGATTCTGCTTCTATATAAAGTCAAAAAGAAAAGATGTAATCTCAGTAGAGCTTTTTAGAACTTTGAAGATGAATTTCCTCACAATGTCTAAAACTAGGAGCTGAATTAGGACTTGTTGTACAGCACTTTTCCTGCTTGTTCAGAATATGTTAATGCTTTAATGTGCACAGTCTGGGCACTGGTTCACTTTTAACAAACTGCAAATGAGAAAATTCAATTTCCAACCCCCTGCCTCTGCATGAATATTGCACCCTGATTGTTCATGAAATTTTGTTTCTTCTTGCCTGATTACTCAAGGATGACAAACAGTTATGATCTCTTTCGAGCTTTCCATACATTTGAATTTAGTGCATGTACTTCTCCTTTAAGTAGGAAGTGGGTGCTTATCCTTTTAGGCCCCTTTCAGACCCAGCGGATTCCATTCCAATCAGCAGAGGATCAGCTCACTGCTGAGAGGAGCAGAGTGGGTGGATGACACAGACAGGAGTTCAGCCCTAATGTTGGCTAATGCTACACCATCTGTATTCAACAAAGCAATTTGTCACTGTCAGCTACAGACACAGACATCAGCAAATAACCTTGAACTTCAGTTTACAACCTGTCAAATAGGACTATGGAAAAATCAGCCTATATACAACCCTGGCATCTACTTACAGTACATACAGTCAGGTCCATAAATATTGGGACATCGACACAATTCTAACATTTTTGGCCCTATACACCACCACAATGGATTTGAAATGAAACGAACAAGATGTGCTTTAACTGCAGACTGTCATCTTTAATTTGAGGGTTTTTACATCCAAATCAGGTGAACGGTGTAGAAATTACAACAGTTTGCATATGTGCCTCCCACTTTTTAAGGGACCAAAAGTAATGGGACAATTGGCTTCTCAGCTGTTCCATGGCCAGGTGTGTGTTATTCCCTCATTATCCCAATTACAATGAGCAGATAAAAGGTCCAGAGTTCATTTCAAGTCTGCTATTTGCATTTGGAATCTGTTGCTGTCAACTCTCAAGATGAGATCCAAAGAGCTGTCACTATCAGTGAAGCAAGCCATCATTAGGCTGAAAAAACAAAAACAAACCCATCAGAGAGATAGCAAAAACATTAGGCATGGCCAAAACAACTGTTTGGAACATTCTTAAAAAGAAGGAATGCACCGGTGAGCTCAGCAACACCAAAAAGACCTGGAAGACCACGGAAAACAACTGTGGTGGATGACCGAAGAATTCTTTCCCTGGTGAAGAAAACACTCTTCACAACAGCTGGCCAGATCAAGAACACTCTCCAGGAGGTAGGTGTATGTGTGTCAAAGTCAACAATCAAGAGAAGACTTCACCAGAGTGAATACAGAGGGTTCACCACAAGATGAAAACCATTGGTGAGCCTCAAAAACAGGAAGGCCAGATTAGAGTTTGCCAAACGACATCTAAAAAAAGCCTTCACAGTTCTGGAACAACATCCTATGGACAGATGAGACCAAGATCAACTTGTACCAGAGTGATGGGAAGAGAAGAGTATGGAGAAGGAAAGGAACTGCTCATGATCCTAAGCATACCACCTCATCAGTGAAGCATGGTGGTGGTAGTGTCATGGCGTGGGCATGTATGGCTGCCAATGGAACTGGTTCTCTTGTATTTATTGATGATGTGACTGCTGACAAAAGCAGCAAGATGAATTCTGAAGTGTTTCGGGCAATATTATCTGCTCATATTCAGCCAAATGCTTCACAAATCATTGGACGCTTCACAGTGCAGATGGACAATGACCCAAAGCAGACTGCAAAAGCAACCAAAGAGTTTTTTAAGGGAAAGAAGTGGAATGTTATGCAATGGCCAAGTCAATCACCTGACCTGAATCCGATTGAGCATGCTTTTCACTTGCTGAAGACAAAACTGAAGGGAAAATGCCCCAAGAACAAGCAGGAACTGAAGACAGTTGCAGTAGAGGCCTGGCAGAGCATCACCAGGAATGAAACCCAGCGTCTGGTGATGTCTATGCATTCCAGACTTCAGGCTGTAATTGACTGCAAAGGATTTGCAACCAAGTATTAAAAAGTGAAAGTTTGATTTATGATTATTATTCTGTCCCATTACTTTTGGTCCCTTAAAAGGTGGGAGGCACATATGCAAACTGTTGTAATTCCTACACCGGTCACCTGATTTGGATGTAAATACCCTTAAATTAAAGCTGACAGTCTGCAGTGAAAGCACATCTTGTTCGTTTCATTTCAAATCCATTGTGGTGGTGTATAGAGCCAAAAAATGTTAGAATTGCGTCGATGTCCCAATATTTATGGACCTGACTGTATATATTAGTGATTATGGGTAAAAGTGTAAAATTTAAAGTAGAAAAGAAGTAAACGCTAACTGAATAACTGTTAGTTTGCTAAAGCATGGTGTATCATAAACAACTGCTGTTTAAAAAAATATTTATATATTTGTTTTGATCTTTTTTCATTCCTTGTAGGAACTTTGTGTTGAGGGTCTCCTTCAGTCTCTTTTGTAGCCAGTTCCTGTCTAATTGCAGGAGTTCCAGTAATGGCTGTTTGGCAAAAAACTCCAATGCCAGTGCCTTCAGGAGCAGCGGCGTTTTGGCAAAAAAAAAAAATGTGTGTGACGTACCCAAATGCGTGTAAAACACGCTCAAGCACTAGGTGTGTCAAGTGCTTAAGGCATTCATTCATTTCAATGGCCAGAATGAATATTCAATGCCAAAGCGATGGAAATGATTAAACGCGTTTGCAATGAACGCAGCTTTTAGGCGCATTTTTGATGCTGTTTTTTTCCCTGACGTTTATAACAGCCCAGGATGCCCAAACCTTAGATGAGACTTTACATGTAGTTTAAAACCAAACACTAGACACACACATACTTAATCTAAATATATACAGAATATGTTTTTTTTAGACTGGGGAAGGATTAGAACCCCTGTCAGGTTTTACTGCCATTGGAGAAATTGCTTTACTTACTGTCTGGTAAGAAGGTTGTCCCCAGGACAGGAAATCTCTCCAACAGCAACTCAGATGTAAAATATTTTTTTAAGTTAAAGCAGAGTTCCACCCAAAAGGGGAAGTTCTGCTTTAAGCCTTTGTCCCCCACTCCCCATTAAGGATTGGTACCTTTGGGGAGCGGGTACCCGAATTTGACAGGTATCCACTCCCACTGCGATCGCCTAGGCGATCGGAAGTTGTCCTCCCTCACGCCCCGTAGTCTTGTGGGAGACGTGACAGGTCCCAGAAGACTACGGGGCCATTCACAAAGTGCAGCGCTTCTTACGCCTGCGCAGTGGGCTCCCGGCTGTGAAGTCGCAAGCTGTCACAGCCGGGTGCCCACACTAAAGATGCCGGCGCCAGGGAGAGAAGATGGCCGGTGAAACCAGCGGTGGTGAGGACACCGCTGGACCAAGGGACAGGTAAGTGGCTGTATTTTAAAAGTCAGCAGCTAAAGTTTTTGTAGCTGCTGACTTTTTTTTTTTTTTTCAGGTGGAACTCCGCTTTAAGAAGGGGAAGGCTTGAACAACATCAATTTTTTATTGCTATCGTTTTACTTGTTGCTAATTTTTCCTCACTTTCCATTTGGTAAAGCTTGCCCCAGAGGGGAAAGTAAAGCGAAACTTCTTTAACAGAGCTCCAGATAGTAGCAAAATCTGACCCTATACTATCCAAAACTAAAAAAAAAAACTTTTGACTATACGTACAGTTTAAAGGTTTTACTTGATTTATAATTGTATAGTCAATAATGTACTTGTACAATTGTTACTTTATAATGTACAGTCAATCTTGTGATTTAAACACATTTGCCTCATTGCACAGCCAGACAGGTCACACATATAGTTTTGATATAGTTCTCTTGTTCACACAGAGTGTGGTGACTGGTGTTTTTCAGCACTGGAGGAATGCCATTCACTGCTAGGGAACATAGAAAACAGTTGTTTTCTATGTGCCCCACTCACACTAAAAGGCAGGCAACTGCGATAAAATGCAGACATGATGCATTTTATCGTAGCACACAGGAAGAACCACATGTCACCCCACAGCAGCACAACGTACGGTTGTGTCAAAATGACGACATGTCACTTTGTGCACTTTAAATAAAGTTAACAAAAAAAAAGAAAAGGAAACTGTGTTGCGCTGAATCGCGCATTATACTGCCCCAACAGCCGGCTCAATGCACCCAAAACTGACAGCTGTCTGCATACTAAACCTTTCCAGTTTAGTGTGTGAGCAGTGTGAACGGGCCCTACGCAATTCCTCCTCCTGGTTTCTGTCACCTTTCCACCTCCAGCCGCTTCCTTTGACAGAGAATTGCATCATCCTCTCTGCCAGGTAAGTAAGGAGTTGACCCAGAAAACAGAAAAGCTGAAGGGGAGAGCGTTGATACTACATAAAAAGTCGGAGCTTTGTGTGTTCAGAGCGATCCGGCATTAGGGGGTCGCACAAAGGAACAAGAAGTGCGGCAGTTAGATTGACAAGTAGTCTTATCTGTATATTTAGCTGTACAGCCAAGGAGGTGACAGGCATTTTTCCAACTTTGCAGCCTACACACGCGACACTGAAGTGTCTAAGACAAGTTCTATCTCTATGTCCATAGCAGCCAATCAGTTTCTAGCTTCTACAAAAGGATAGAAAATGAAACTTTAAGCCCTGATTCACATATCTGCAATGCGGGAATCACAGCAATTCCTGAGCGTTTCCCACACCGCATTGAAATTGCACTCTGTTCATGCAATCTGCCACCGGTGTCAATGTTAAATTAATGACACCCCAAAACAGGTTGCAAACTGCAGTGCGACTGCAAGAATCGGATTGAATGCAATCCAATTCCAGTGTGGCAAAAAAATAAAAAAAAAAAAAAAAAAAGGAAAAAAAAAAATGCCTGCAATTTTTTGGTGTAGGTGCATTGCGAACTGAACCCATACAAAATGAATAGGTTCAAATCACACTGAAAAAAATTGCATGTGATTTGAATATGAATGCGGTGCGATTCCTATCTGAATCACATTCAGTGTCCCGCACTACACAAGTGTGAACCCAGGCTAAAAGCCAATTGGCTGCGCTCCATTTTAGAGAAGGTTGAGACAAATTTTGTAATTCCCCCCCATTGATTCAGCATCATAACCTACTGCAGCCAGTGAGATTTCACTTTAATCATACGTTTCTAAATGCATTTTCACATTAATCAAAAACAGCAACAATGACAAGAACAAAGTCAAATCATTGGAGGAATTTATTACTTTGCCTCTTGCCACTTTGTAAAGTGCTAATTCTTAGATCTCAACTTCAGCTACTTACATTTTCTGCTATGTTTTTATTTCTATTGTTGACCCAGTTTCTTAGATTTGCGTTTACTTCCTGTCCCTGTGACTTGTGTGCAAGAATTGCGGGGTGTGACTAGGACAGGAGGGCAGGAGCAAATATAAAACCACTGTCAGACATTATATCCCTTTCACACGCCACTAAAGATTTATTTTTTACCTGTGTCCACAATAAGTAGATTTCCCTTAACTTCCTGTTTAGACAGGAAGTGAGGAGAAAGCTCCCCAACAGAGACACAGACAGCAATAAATCCCTGACAGAAACGCTAACCCTTCCCTACTCTATCCAAAATAAAATAAAATGTTTTTAATGGAGTTGGGGTTCAGTAACCCGTAGCAACCAATCCAAATTTACTTTACTAAAGTCAGACAATTTAAAACAGATTTTGCTTGGTTTCTATGGGTTATCACAGCAGAGACAAATTTTCTATTGAATAAGCCGCTGATGCTTCTGTGTTTATTCTCCATTCTGGAATCACCATTGAGGTATAAACTATTCAGTCTGAGGGAGTATAAGAAGACACAGGGCCACTTAATGAAATTCGAGGAAAAAGCAGTTTAACCTCAAAGTGTTACAAAACCCACAGCAGTAAAATCAGTCTGTATATGCAGTAAAGCATGCTTGTTATACTCACTGTGGAACCTAAGGGGTTAATCCTCTGCAGTGTGTAAAAAGGCTGTTTGATCCTACCTTCTCTGATCCTCCCCTTCTACTGTCCCCAATGCAACTGCTGATAGTACAGAGCTCTAGGAGTCACTCTGCACATGCTCAGTTTTTTTTTTTTTAGAGAGGCTTTTTTGCTTTGGGAGAGTTCATGTGACCAGCACAGGGACAATCAACACTGTCCAGACAGAGGTCAGGGGGTTCTACATCCGCCTAGAGAAAAATGAAAACTCCTGCTACAAGCTTTAACCAGTGCTCGGCTGGACACTGATAGAAGTCACAAGACTGCTCTAACTGCTGATGAGAAAAGGTATTTAGCAGTTTATATTTACTAAAATAATTGCACTTCCATGTTCTGTGTACTGTGGGAGACCAAATATAGTGAATACAGGGTCCTGGGTTCAGTAACACTTTAAACTGCGTAGGGTTTTTTTCACTATCAGAGTAGTAGGGATGTGGAACTCTCTTCCACAATTTGTGGTGTCAGCAGAAATATTGAGAGTTTAAAAAAAAAAACAAAAAAAAAACTTTTATATGGGCATCTTAGCCAACACAATATACAGGGATATTGGATATGATTTTTGACATGAGCACACACACAACCACATAGGCTGAACTGGATGGACTAGTGTCTTTATTCAACCTTACCTACTATGTAACTATACATCACAGCTAAAAAACAGAGCACAGATGGCTACCTGTATATCATACTTGAATTTGCGCAATTTGTGCATTTGCAGTAAGTCCTGTCTCTGGGTAAAATGATTATACTGCAAGTCCAGATGTTCCAAGAGATTCTGGAAGTGGACACTTGCCAATGAAGGATCTTTTGCTGCCAGCTTCCTGAAAATGAAATAGAATGAGACATTTCTCAGTCAAACCTTCTGCAGAAAAAGGCTACTCCCTCAAAAATCAGATGCTGCCCAGGGGTATGAAAGATATGAAAATGTACTGGCCTTAGTAACAAAACATGTCTTTAAAGAGTCATCTGCTCAAAACTGATATTTCAGAACAGGGCAAGGTTACGTTCGCCTTTTAACAAAAAAGAATAAATGCACATTTTGCTGCAGGTGAAAAAAATAGTATTTACTATTTTTTGTTTTGGGAGCCTGGAAAGCATTGCACCATCAGCCAGCAGATTGCAAGTGCATGCAGAACTCCTGCAGACCTGTCAGTGTATCTCTGTGCTCTTACCTCGTACGGGCAGGCAGATGCACACTGACAGGAAGAATCGATGACCTACCTAGAGTGCTCTTGCCGTGGTAGTACATTGAGAACTACAAACTACCATAAAGGCTGTCGGAACTTGTAGGTTTCCCATTCACAAAAAACTGTGAACAAATGATGCAGCCGGCTGGGAAGAGCCCCACACGGCCACCTTTTTAATAATTGTGACAGGTAGCAGGGAAAGAAGATTCCCCATTAGCTGTCACATCGGGAATTGGGTAAGAGTGAGGGCCAGGCCTTTCGTAATGTGTTACATCCTGAATATTGGTGTAACATGCTACAAAAGGTGAACTTATCCTTCAATGCCCATTGTAAGCAGACAGCTCTACAAAGTGATGGGAATTCCCTTCATAGATAGCGGTCAACAGGTGCCCCCCACTCCACTATCAGATTTCCACTCACCTCTTGTAATTTTTCCCCACACCATCCAAAAACAAAAAAAAACCCCATAGAAGTACCAGGTATATTCTTCACTTCCAGCAGCTGAATGGAGCAGTAGAAAGAAAAGCAGTATGTACTGCGGGGGGAGGAGGACAGTAATGCAAAACTTTTCCTTAAAAAAGATGAAATTCCATTACATCCAGCTTGGACCAATGTAAGTATATAAAGTGCTGTGCAAACGTTTTAGGCAGGTGTGAAAACATTATCTTTTCCTTTACTGTCCATTTTGTTAAATTGATAAAAATAATCAATTTCAATTTCTAAAAGCATTCTTAATTTACAGCAATTTTTCACACCTGCCTAAAACATTTGCAGAGTACTGTATGTTCCATACCTGTGGAATCCCCCTAGAAGCTGAAGTTACTGTAGTAGACATCGCTACTACAGTGATCTTCATTAGCTTCTGGGTCCCATGTCATGCAGCTGTCTTGCTGCATTGTGAACAAAAGTTGTCTCTCGCTTTGTGGGGGGCACCATTCAGGGAACCCTTTGCATTTTCCCTATGAATGCAAAGATTTCTCTGATTGGACAAAGTGGGGCAATGACATAATTTCCACCTCGTCCAATCGGAGAACACTTTGCATGCTCTGAGAAAATGTAAGGCTGTCTCTGAATGCCACTCATGCCAAGCAGGTGACAGACTGTGTTCAGAGGCAGAAGTGCAGCCACTCGTTATGTGACACAGAAGCTAGTTTGGGTTTCACTATAGTAGCAGTAGCTACTGCAGAGATTTCCAGCAGGATCCCACAGGAATGGCACATACATACTGACATTGGTCCAAGCTGGATCAAGGTAACTAAAAAAAAACAAACACAACCATATTCCATACCTGGAATTCAGCTTTAATACATGGGGACTTGTTTGTTCAAGGAATGTGTGAACATGATTTATTAATCAAAATTGTAGAACAATTCTAAAAAAATATATATTTTGATTAGAGTAAATATGTTATGGGTTTTTTTTTTCAATGAGAAAGGAGTCTTGAAATTCACTTATGCTGCTCATAGATGGTTGAATCTCAGCCAATTCAGCAGGGACCAGCCATAATTCGAACCATCTATGGGCAGGCTGACTGTACCCAATTCAATTATTCTATGACTTGGGTACAACTAGACTGTCAGCTTTTCATGCAATTATTGCCAGTGACTATAGCCGTTCACAATGATCACTGTGTGCTCTCCCAGCAAGGCGCCCCCCATGCCACCCTGCTGGAACAACACAACAGCTCTGCAGGAGGGATTCCCCCATCCACACTGTGTGGATGGGGGAATAGAGCAATTTTCTTTTCTGCAACCTGTGGTTGGTTTTACTCATAACATGTACATAACCTGATAAGGCATGATGATGCTACCACCCCTAATTCACTGTATGTGCCATTTTACAAACAAATCTGCTTGCCCCAGAACAAAATAATACCAGGACCAGTATCCAGTAAGGAGTATTACATATAACTCACCAATTTTCTATGAGACTGTTCACACTTGGGCATGGTCATAACGCAGGCCCAATGCAATTAACAAGATCAAATCCGTTGGTTTTAATAGACCTAGTTCACGCCACTGGCCTGTGTTGTTGTGCACTGGGTGAAGATGCAACATGCTGGATTTATAAGCAGCACAAATTAAGCAGCAATACAGAGGGGGAGATTTAGTAAAACTGAACACTCAGAATCTGGTGTAGCTGTGCAAGATAGCCAATCAGCTTCTCACTTCAGCTTGTTTCTGAACGGTTTCTGTGCAGAAGTGCAACAGATTTTGCACTCTCCAGTTTTATTAAATAACCCCAACAGTGTGTTGAGAAAAACAAAATAAAAGTATTCTGGATTCCGCTTTGGGGAAAAAAAAAAAAAAAAATCCACACATGAATGTAACACGTTAAAAAAGCAAGCCAATGCACATCAGCTCAAGTGCACTTTGTGCATACTAAATTCAGCTCATAGTGTAAATCTAGCCTAGACTCAAAGACTTACAGTGGGGAAAATTATTATTTAATCCCCTGCAGATTTTGCAAGTTTGGCCACTTACAAAGAAATGAAAAGTCTAATTTTTATCATAGGTGTATTTTAAATGATTGAGAGAATATCAACTGAAAATCTAGAAAAACACGATACAAATGTCATAAATTGAGTTGCAATTCAGTGAGTAAAATAAGTATTTGTAGGTAAGCAAAACATGACAGTACTTCGTGAAGAAACCCTTGTTGGCAAGCACAGAGGTAAGACGTTTTTCTTGTAGTTGGTTACCAGGTTTGCACACATCTCAGGATTGATTTTTGTCCACACTTCTTTACAGATCTTCTCTAACTCTTTAAGGCAGGGGTGTTCCAAACTTTTTTCAAAGAGGGCCAGATTGGATGAAGTGAACATGGTGGGAGGGCCGAACATTTTTCCAAACATTCTTTGAACCATTACAATTAAATGCAAATAAATTATTTTATGCCAAGTTAATTGCAAACGACATACTTTTCATTTCATAACATTAAGATCAACTGACAGCTGAGTTTTCACAATGTATTGAAAATACATTTTAAAAAAAACTTACCTGCACTAATGTGAAGGGTGAAAAAGGTAGCTGGAGCTGAAGTCTCTGCTCAGCAGCCGGGAGGGGAAGAGAAACACACTTCATGCTGGAAGCCCGGCCCTGACGTCACCACCCTCTGTCGCTCCCAGCGTGGCGCAGTCACGCATGAGCACTGCTCTCAAGCAGAAGACTGTCTGCCACAGAAAGGAGGGCTGTGTGACAGCCGCATTTACACAGAGCAGGGAGAACGCGCCGCAGTCAGGCATGCGCACTGCCCTCTGTTCTCAAGCAGAAGACTGTCTGCCATAGAAGGGAGGGCCGTGCGACAGCCGCATTTACACAGACCATGGGGAGAACGCGCCGCAGTCAGGCATGCGCATGCCCTCTGCTCTCAAGCAGAAGACTGTCTGCCATAGAAGGGAGGGCCACATTACACAGAGCAGGGAGGGCTGTTGGAGGGCCATATTAAACCGACCCCCGGGCCGTAAATGGCCCGCGGGCCGGACTTTGGACATGCCTGCTTTAAGGTTTCTTGGCTGTCGCTTGGCAACCAAGTTTCAGCTCCCTTCATAAATATTCTATAGGATTAAGGTCTGAAGACTGGCTAGGACACTCCATGACCTTAATGTCACTTTTGAGCCACTCCTTTGTTGCCTTGGGGGTATGTTTTGGGTTATTATCATGTTGGAAGACCCAACCATGACCCATCTTCAATGTTCAGGAGGGAAGAAGGTTCTCATCCAAGATTTTACAATACATGGCCCTGTCCCCTGGCCCCACAATGCGGCAAAGTCAGCCTGTACCTTTAGCAGAGAAAGAGCCCCAAAGCATAATGTTTCCACCTCCATGCTTGACTGTAGGGACAGTGTTATTGGGGTCATAGTCAGCATTTTTCTTCCTCCAAACACAGCGAGTCAAGTTAATGCCAAAGAGCGCAATTTTAGTCTCATCTGAACACAGCACTTTCTCCCAATCCTTCTCTGAATCAGACAATTCAGACAAGCCTGTACATGTGACTTCTTGAGGAAGGGGATCTCGCAGGCGCTACAGGATTTCAATCCATGGTGGCATATCATGTTACCAATGGTTTGCTTGTTGACTGTAGTTCCAACTGCCTTGAGATCATTCACAAGCTCCTCCCATGTAGTTCTGGGCTGATCCCTCACTTTTCTCATGATCATCCTTACCCCATGAAGTGAAACCTCGCATGGAGCTCCAGACGAGGGCGATTGATGGTTATTTTGTATTTCTTCCATTTGCGAATAATCGCTCCAACAGTTGTCTCCTTCTCATCAAGTTTCTTGCTGATGGTCTTGTAGCCCACTCCAGCCTTGTGCAGGTCTACAATCTTGTCCCTGATGTCCTCTGACAGCTCTTTGGTCTTGCCCATAGTGGTGGCCAAGAATCAGATTCTGTGGACAGGTGTCTTTAATGCACATAACAAGTTGCCATTAGGAGCACCTTCTTCAATTGCCAGGACTAATCTGTGTAACACGTGAGCACATAGCCAGCCTGTGGGAGCCAGAATTGTTGGTTGGTAGGGAATCAAATGCTTATTTTACTCACTGAACTGCAACTCAAAATTATAACATTTGTATCATGTGTTTTTTCTGTATTTTTGGTTGATATTCTGTCTCTATCATTTAAAATACACCAATGATAAAAAAAATATAGGCCCTTCATTTCTTTGTAAGTGGGCAAACTTACTAAAACTGTAGGGGATCAAATGATTATTTTCCCCAGTGTATTATCAGTAGCAATCAAGAAAAGTTTTTTTTTTTACCCCATTGGCAAATACTGAGGGAAATACTGCAGCTGCAATTGCTGACCAGGAAAGCCAAAGTGAAGAAAAGGAAAGTCAAAGTAAAGACAAAAAAGGTCCTTATCCGTTGCTTCCACGTTTCCCCCAGGAAATTTTTCTATAATAAAGAGTAGCTGTGAACTTATACGCCTTCCTCACCAGTGTTGGGATTCAATCCATGGCGCCAAATACATCCGCACCTCCACCGGTAGAATCTGGTCACTGTAGAGTCCTATGAGGTTGTCCTTGAAGGGTCCACTTAAGTTCAACAGGGACTCCCATTGGCTCATGTTGTGACCCACCAAAGCACCTTTAACAGAGAAGTAAAATTAACTGGAAAGAAACAGTGGGAGAGAGTTACTAAAAGTGGAGCACTCAGCTTGTTCAATGAGGCTTTGCCAATAAAACCTGGAATGGTTGGGTTTCTATGCAGACATGCATCTGATCGTGTACTCTCCAGCTTTAGTCAATCAACACCAATTATATAACAGAAATCTAAGAAACCATATGACTTTTCTTCTTTTGGATTACAGTTTTGTAAATGAGCTAGATAAGCTAAGGGCATAAGTTACACTATGAAGACTAGCACAATGCATTTGGAAGGCTATATTATGTTATGTCAATGTGGAAATCCAGCCAAACACTTTTTTCTTCTTGGAGAGATAATGAGATAAAAATAGGAAGGGTTGGACCTCGTCGTCTATGACAGCAGGAAGAAAGAAGAAATCCCATAATTTGATGTCTACACTTTCCCTCTCCTCCTTTTTGGTGACTATTAGAAAATGTGAAATTTCCCCTCATCCCAGGACAGCCGGACTGGCTGCATGAACACGAACAGCTCATCACCCATAGAGGTAAGTTGTTGATTTTCAGGTTGGTCAGGAGCACTCCGATTGCTTGTACAAGAGAGCCAACCATCAGCTGTACAAAATGGTACCGGGGTGATGCCTGCACCTTGCTTGTGTGGATGGGGGAATCCATTTATTTTCAATCACCCCACTGGTTCATCAAGAGGAAATGAATCATCTATGGCTAGCCTTGGGCCATTTCACATCAGCATGCAGAGATGCAACATGATGGAAATTTCAGGAAACGGTCTGCTTTAAGGATACTATCTGCATGGCGTTTGTGTGTCCTCCACAATTTTTGCATGTATCCCCTACCACAATTCAAAAATATTATCCACTTTAGCCCAGGAAGGTTTTACCCCCTTCATGACCAGGCTATTTTTTCCTATTTAGCACTGCACTACTTTAACTGGTAATTGCGCGTTCATGCAATGCTGTACCCAAACTAATTTGCTTTTTTTTTTTCCCCACACAAAACAGAACTTTATTTTGGTGGTAATTGAAATATAATGGAAAAAATAAAATTGTACTTTCTACTATAAAGCATCCAATACAGAAAATTTGAAAAATCATTTTTCTTCATAAAGGTTTGCCAAAATGTATTCTGCTACATGTCCTTGGTAAAAAGAAAATTAAATTAATAAGTGAACTGTATATTGATTGGTTTATGTGAATGTTATTGCATTTACAAATGACTGCAATAGTACGGTGGGCAATCTGACACTGACACTGGGGGGGAGTAACCAACTGCCACTGACATCACCAGAGACATTAATACAGTGATAATACACTGTAACTGTACTAATGACACTAGCTGGGAAGGGGTTGATATAATATAATGCGATCAAGGGATTAACAGCATTGACTCCTGCTACTTTCACTGGGTAAATGCTCCTATCTCCACTTTAACTAGAACAACGCATTGACTCCTGTTAAATTCAGAACAAATAGTGTATTTATATTTTTGTATATGTTGACCAGTTCTCACCTCTAGCTGCACTCGTCTTATGACTGTAGTCTGGTCTGTTTGAGAAACATCCCCCCCCCATTCATGTTATCCTTATCAGTGATCCTTATGAGATGAGTGCTCATTTGACCATCTCCCACTGATGGGGGGGACACACTGTCACTCATCACCTTCTGCTGAGTACTGCACTTGATCCTGCTAAGAAGCAGTTAAACACAGCAGTTGGAAGGCATGAGCACTCAAGTGCAGGACATGCCAAGAAACTCTACTGCATGCTGGACTTGCAAGCAAACACCCTGGGAAACATTTCTTCAAGTCTGAGTCCTACTCCCTCTGGGGATATGTCCGCCAAACCCAGGTCCTTTTCAGATTACTTTCCTGCGTTCCCTCTCACTTTTTACCCCTCTGCTCAAAAATGCCCACTCTGCTCACTGCTAATAAGCTCACCTACTGCTCTCATGACCTTTTTGTCATACTTCACTCTCCTGCTGACCCAAACACCAGGACTGGAAGGCTACCAATTACAGAAACCTGTTACTTTCCTCACCATTCTTCTTCTCCTAACCTCTGGGGATATCTCCCCAAACCCAGTCCTCCACTATTTCCACCCTTACTTTTTCATGTGCGCTCTGGAATGCCCAACTCTGTCTGTAATAAGCTCACCTCTGTCCATGACCTTTTTGTCACCCACTCCCTTAATCTACTACCAATTACAGAAACCTGGCTCCAGCAGCAGATTCTGCTTCCCCTGAAGCACTTTCCATGGAGGCCTCATCTGGACCCACTCACCCAGACCCAGTGGTCGGAAAGGTGGTGGGGTTGATTTTCTTCTATCCCCACTGAGCACCTTTCAAGTCCTCCCTAACCCTCCCTCTCTATCCTCTTCTTTCGAGACTCACTGCATCCAGCTGTTTTCCCCCATTTCTCTGAGGATTGCAGTGATCTATCGGCCTCCTGAACCGGTGTCCCGCTTTCTTGATGATTTCTCCGCCTGGCTACCCTACTTTCTCTCCTCTGAACTACCCGCTATCATTCTCGGAGATTTTAACATCCCCATTAATGCTAACAACCCGGCTACATCCCAACTCTTCAACATAACATCTTTTGCATTAGCACAATGTATACAGTCCTCCACTCACTCTGATGGAATACATTAGACCTTGTTTTCTCCCATCTTTGCACTCCCTACAACCTCACAAACACCCCCCTTTCCTCTCTCTGATCACAATCTCATCACCTTCACAGTGTCCTCGTCTTCAAACACCTATCCCTCCAAGCAGCAAACAATTACCCACAGAAACCTTCACAACTTGAACCCTGCTCCTTTCCACTCTGCAACTGACCAACTCTGACAATCTCTCCCCTGTCCTGCCCTGACCTGGCCACTGCTGTCTATAACAGTTCGCTTTCATCCGCATTAGACTCGCTTGCTCCTCTCTACGAACATCAGGCCCATACAAGCATGAACAGGAGCCAGGCGCCCTGGACCGTTATAAACCTTGGCAGACTGACCACACAAGAAATCTGTAAACGTGACACGTCCCAGCGTCCTGGATGACGTGTGCGCTGGAGCTGGGATGTGTCGCGCGCATGCGCTTTGTAAATGCGCGCGAAACATGTTGTCCCACCAAGCATTCTTCCTTCGCTGCACTATAAATCTGCTTTCTTAACATACAATTCCTCCCTTCATGCTGCCAAACAAGCCTACTTTGTCACTCTTATTAATACCTTCTCATCCAGTCCGCGTCGTCTCTTCTCTACTTTTAACTCTCTACTTTCTTCACCTCCACCCAGTACCTCACTCACTGCTCACGAGATTGCAAATCATTTCAAAATCAAGATTGATGCAATTCGTAGGGGCATCGCCACTGCACAGACATCCATCCCACTTAGCATACCTTATACTAAACCTCCCTCAACACTTTCCTCTTTTGACCTTGCTACTACCGAAGAGGTCACTAAGGTTTTCTCAGAAGCCCGTCTCACTACCTGCCCCCTGGATCCTGTCCTCTCACAACTACTATGGTCACCCTCTTCTTCCATCCTATGTTCCCTCACTCACATCTTCAATCTTTCCCTCTCTACTGGTGCCTTCCCCTCCCCTCTAAAGCATGCGCACATCACTCCCATACTTAAAAAGCCCTCCCTGGACCCCACCAACCTGAACAACTTAAGACCCATCTCCCTGCTGCCATTTACCTCTAAACTCCTAGAACGCTTAGTCTACAATCGCCTGAGCTCCCACCTCACCAACAACAACCTTCTTGACCCTTTACAGTCTGGCTTTTGCTCACTACACTCCACTGAAACTGCCCTATTAAAACTCACTAATGATCTACAAACTGCTAAAACCAATGGCCACTACTCCGTACTCTTACTACTTGACCTCTCTGCGGCTTTTGATATGGTTGACCATCCCCTCCTCCTCAAAAAAACTCCACTCTCTTGGCCTCAGAGACCCTGCTCTCTCCTGGTTCTCCTCCTACCTATCGCAGCACTCCTTCAGTGTTACCTATAACGCTGCCTCCTCCTCTTCACTCCCTCTTTCTGTAGGGGAACCTCAAGGTTCTGTCCTTAGACCCCTTCTCTTCTCCATCTACACCTCCTCCCTTGGTCACTTGATAAACTCCCATGGCTTTAAAGTACCATCTCTATGCTGATGATACACAAATCTATCTTTCTACTCCTCACCTCACCCCCTCAGTCTCCACTCGCATTACTAACCTACTAAGTGACATATCGGCATGGATGTCACTCCACTTCCTCAAACTCAATCTTTCCAAAACTGAACTCTTAGTATTCCCGCCAGCCCGTGCCCCCTCCCCTGACTTCTCAATCAAGATCAATAACACAATCATCAGTCCCTCCCCTCATGCCAGGGTACTAGGTGTAATCCTAGACTCCCATCTGTCCTTTCAGCCCCAAATCCAATCACTGTCCAAATCTTGTAGACTTCACCTCCACAACATCTCCAAGATACGCCGTTCCTAACCTCGGAAACCACTAAGCAACTTATTCACTCCCTTGTTACATCTCACCTTGACTATTGTAACTCCCTCCTCATTGGCCTACCTCATCGCAGGCTATCCCCTCTTCAGTCTATCATGAGTGCTGCTGCCAGACTCATCCACCTTACTAACTGTTCTGTATCTGCCACCCCTTTCTGCCAATCCCTCCACTGGCTTCCCGTTGCCCAACGGATAAAATTCAAAACACTAACAACGTATAAAGCCATTTATAACTGCCCCAAATTACATCAACGATCTTGTCTCTAAATATCACCCAAACCATACTCTCCGCTCCTCGCAAGACCTCCTACTCTTTAGCTCCCTTGTCTCCTCCTCCTATGCTCGTATCCAGGACTTCTCTGGAGCTTCCCCCATCCTCTGGAACTCTCTACCCCAATTTTCAGACTATCGCCTACTCTGCTCACTTTTAGGCGATCTCTGAAAACCTCTCTCTTCAGGGAAGCCTA